TGCAGAGCCGGAGGGCGGGACCCTGGTCCGAAGACCGGCCTCTCACCCTCGGGGCTTCCACGCCACGGCGCTCAGAAGGCCTGTCCTAGCGGGTGTGAGCCACGTGCAAACGTTTTCATCCGCCCGTCCGCCAGGGTTTCATCTAATGCGCCTGACCTCTTCCCTTTCATCTTCACATACTAGTAGGAAATTAAAGAATTTAGAAAATCTGAAGCGATTAACAGTTGGCAAGAATCTACTGAAACTATACAGCCCAAATCATGACGTTCAAACCATTAAATACACTGGTTCGTAAAAAACAACGAGGATACTAGATTAACAGAAGGATCACTCCGTAAACTATACAAACGTCTAATCACTATCCCATAGGCCTGAAACTAATGTAATATTGAATATCAACTATAATTGAAAAAAATTAAGTGATAAAAATGCACTGGGGAACGATTTTACTCGTTATGTTGACAAAGAAACTAGTGTCAACATAAAGCTAGTGTTTTTTTTTTCATTTCAGGAAGCAAAAAACCCTCATGGTCAAATGACACAGTTTAAGTTACATCAGTTTGGGAAAAGAGAGCTATTACCTAGTTAGATCAGCAGTTTCTAGAAACAGATCGAGGTATTTCTTGAAAAGGGAGCATCTTGTTCATGGTTTAAAGAGGAATTCTAACTGCATTTAGAAAAGTGAGTAAAATTAAATGTATATTTAATTATTTTATAAAGCAATAAGAACAGGGAAAAGACTTTTCCTAGACTGCTCCCCCCGCCCCATGGACTCTATAGATAACATGTAAAAAAGAAATTTAATTCAGCAAAAATCCCAGTTTATTTAAAGCAAAAAGCCGTTTCTCCCTTTGAGGGCATATTCTTAAAATAAACATTTGCTGGATATTCTAGCCCCCTCGTGTTGAAGAGAATTAGAATTTAGTGTGTTATGTTTAATTACCCTTAATAGGGTTCAGTAGAATATCAATCTGTTGAGTCCTTGATCTACTAAAGCTAAGAATCTAGGTTTTAAAAAACGCTTTCAAATATTATGTAACAAAAATACTATTTTTAAAAGCTCATCACACACTGACGTATAGGGGTGGAACTAAATGTCTAGAATTTGCTTTATAACATCTCAGATTTTTAAAAAATCAAGGGTGTTGAAAACTGCAGCAAAATCTATTGAATATGGGTGATGGGTGAATACAGGAGTTCATTGTACTACTCTATTTTTGTGTTTTTTTGAAAATTTTTAAATTTTTAAATCTCATAAAATGTAAGCTGAAGTAAATCAATGTAAAAATCTTTTATATGCCAAAGCAATACCCATAAAAGATGCAAACCTCATCCCCTGAATCCATCGTGATTCATACCTCCCAGGATTGAGCCTCAGTCACCTAAGGGTCATCGGTGACCTGATTGGAATTGGATGGGCCTATCCTAATAACTAGAAGCAGTCTTTTCAACCAGCAAAGCTCTCCACTGAGTCCAGGTAGACCAGCTTGTCACATCATGCCACAAGCTTCCAGTCATACACCCAGATAGCCTAAAATGTGATTTGCTTACAATGACAACTGTAAGACTGCTGCACACTTGAAAAATGTGTACAACACCAAATGGGGAACACATACTGACTAGGAAAATTGCTGAATTACTAATCAAAACACCTGAATTCTAGCAATTCAGGTGACCTGCCCAGGGCTATATACTAATAAAGAATATCTATGCTAGGTACTCTGCAGGGTTTAATACAGCTGAGAATATCTATGAAAATTGCTGACAAACTTTAAAGCATGCTACATATTACTACTGCTGTTTTAAAAAGCAGTAAGTGCTAATAAAGCTATGTAAAGCACTATTTCATAGTCTAAGTATAGAGATGGTAATAATTCTTTTGTCAGGGAAAAAATCAGACAAGGCTTTTTGGAGATGACCTATTAAACTCTTTCAGACTGGGTAAAGTTGCATAAATAATGGAGGAAAAGACAAATCTTGATTGAGGATATGAATGGGAAGAGGAAAAGACATGTATAGGGAACAGCAAAAATACAGGATCCAGCACAAATAACACCTTTTGTATTACAAACTTTTATTACAAAATCATAAGCATGTAATTCCGTAACATAACAATATCACACTCAAGCACACCATTATGACATTTTTGGTGAAATGTTCAAATTAAAACTATAAATTATTACACCCATATTACTACCCTACCAACCACACTCAAGCAGGTATTACTCTGCTGGACTGAACAGTCCATTAAAGTTACAACAAATATATGAACAAAATATTAGAGAATGACTTCTATTGGGTTTTCCAAAAAGTTTGTTTAGTTTTTTTCCATATGATGGCTCTAGTAGTGTTTAGCTATCTTTAATTTGAAACAATTTTGTTCCACTGCATTGTGACAGCTGTCATACCAGCGTGCGTTAAAAATAATTTATCAAAATTGGTCTTTGTGCAGCCATTTTAATGTTGAAGATGGAAGAAAATAAGCAATATTTTTGGTGCACTGTGCTTCATTATTTTAAGAAAGGTAAAAACACAACTGAAGTGCAAAAAAAATTTGTGCAATATACGGAGATGGTGCTGTGACTGATTGAAGTGTTAAAAGTGGTTTGAGAAGTTTCTTAGTTTACTGACATTGCTATGAGGTTGTTTCATGCATTGGAAGATGTTTAGCAGCACCCCTGGCCTCAACCCACTAGAAACCAACAGCAGGAGATAGCCAACATACTCAAAATATCCAAATCAATAGTTATTGGTAAAAATGAAAAATGTCTTTTATTTTAGAAAAAACTAAATGGACTTTTTGGCCAACCCTCTATTATAATCCATGGGTTCCAGCCTAACAGTGGGACATGAAAATAATTTTAATAGCTTACAACCAGCTGTTTTTAATGGAATAGAGTGGGAAATATTAAGGTGTATCACATATAAAAAGGGTAAATATTTTGTTAAAGTATTGTTTCAGATGTACACATGGGCACATGTCTGCCAACTCATGACATAAATGTATTTCTTATGGGTTGTTGTAATTTTTATTTCTTAAATACCACACTATATCATATGACAAAGTACCAGTAGCTGTAATTAAAGGATGAGATTACAAAAAAATTTAATTTTCCAAAATCTTCAGTGCTTGAAATTCTCACTAAAATCAGAGAAAAAATATTTAAAGAAAGGTACACAAAGACTTTAAAGCTCAGATAACTGTGAGGTAGATGGTGGTGTTAACCAAAATAGGGCTCACAAGAAGGAGGCACTACATCAGTTATTTCCAGTCTTCATCATCTCATGACACACCATAAACTAATTACTAAAGTTCTGCGGTACACCAAAAAATATATTGTATTTTTTGCCAATCTGACAAAACAAGTAAGTATAATTTTGATTCATTCTCAGTTATTGCTGGATATTGTTGCATTGACTGTTCTCATTTTTTATTTGACAGTCTAACGGGAAAGAGGTCAGTGCCCCTGACTAAATCGTCAGGCATTGCATGTTTTAAAAATTCTTGTGGCACACCAGTGTGCCTGCGGCAACATACTGGTTGAAAATTGCTGCATTAAATGAAGATGGGAATTTACATTTTATGTGCACTGAGTCTGAAATGCTCATAGGAGATTCTGGAAGTATGAGCTAGAAAAGTTACATGCAAAACTTAAAAGACATAGTGTGAGGTATAGATTTGGTAAACAGCCACACAGGTGATAGTTGAAGCCATCACTATCCAAGGACAGAGAAGAGGATTACACCACACAGGTCGGTCTGGGGAAGACCTGCCTTTAGAGAGAGGGATGGAATCAGAGACGGCAAGAGGGAGATGTTAGCAGGAACTCTGAACTGATTCAGGAGTGAGGCCACTGGAATGGCTACACTGTCATCAAATCTTGGCTTTACACTACAAGCGAGATCTTATTAGGGTAATGGTGCTTATAATCTAAAACTGATCGAAGTGAGTGCCTGTAACATTAGTGTTTGGTAGCCACTGCTGTCTCAGTCCTTGGCATGAATATCACACTTAGACTACACTATAGCTTTTCTGAGTGCCCAGTTTGGGTTTAACTTCCTGCTCATCCCAAGCCTCCAACTCACAGCACCGTATACACAGATGATGAATCCTAACTCTTACAAATAAGTGGCTAGAATCTTGTAACCAAGACAGATTCACAAATGACAGAAAATGTAGAACTCCTCCTCAAATTCTTCTTCCATATGGCTTTACTTTACAGGCCATACAAACCTGTAAAGAAGTAAGCACTGACTAATCCAAAACAAATTTCTTATTCATCTCACCCCTAGGAACTGAAATTATCTTAGAGTCCTTCCTGTTATGTAATGTCAACGCCCCTTGGTTTCATCTTTAGAGCATTATAATTATTTCAGTTGTCACTACTAGAAAACAATGCTGGACAACCCTGAATTTAATTATTATTCAGTATTAATAACTGACACAGTAAAACAGAACAGTAGAAAACAATTTATTCAATGAAAACTTCAAGTAACCATTTTTTAAAAAACATGTGAGATAGAAGCAATTGAGAGAAATGAGATCTTCCCATGGAGAAGATGGATACACTAAGGTTGAAATTGGTCCCCATATACATAAGTAAGTACTTTGAGGTTAATTCTGTTATACAAAACATCTTTATACAAAGAGAAAAATTTGAGCAATGCCTTGAAACAAAGAGCATGTGAACATAAAGAGGTGAAAATAGCGTATACATTTTTAATTTGTTATTGATTCAGCAACAAAATTTCTAAAGAAGAATAAGAATTATTTTCCTTTATGTCAAAATCTACTCTACAATACTGAATACTAAAAATAACACGTGGGAGAGCAAGAAGGAAGTAGAAATTAGTTGGAAATAATCAACTTATAGTTTAAAGGCTAGGACTTTGTTTCAAAAAAGATTTTATTTATTTTTATTTATTTATTTTTAGAAAGGGAAAGGGAGAGAGAAAGAGGGAGAGAAACATCAGTGTGTGGCTGCCTCTCACATGCTTCTTGCTGGGGACCTGGCCCACAGCCCAGGCATGTGCCCTGACTGGGAATCAAACTGGTGACCCTTTAGTTTGCAAGCTGATTCTCAATCCACTGAGTCACACTGGCCAGGGCAAAAAGGCTAGGTTTTTAAGTGAAAGCATATCTGACACCAGAAATAAAAAGGGAAAAACAGCAAAATAGATTTGGATTAGGAATCTCAAAAAAAAATTCACACCCATGTTCTCATCACCATAAGATTGTACTTAAATGAAAAAAAAAACAAACAAATCAATTTTCTTTACCTGCATTGCAAATAAAATATGATAAAAATCTACAAAACAAGTTAATCTTGAAATTTTAAACTTAAAAGTTTAAACCTCAGATCCCCCCAAAAGTCCATCTCAAAAGCTGGTAAACATTTATCAAATTCTTTGTAGGTCACATAAAAACACATATATAGTACTATAAATTTAGACTTTTCAGTTTTGAGTATACCTGTACTGAAAAATAGTGTTAAATTTTGTATGGTGATAGAACATTATGCTTAACAAGATTATACAAACACGTACACACAAACCTGCAACTCTGAACAGAGTACATTTACATCATTTCATACCCTTAGGATAAAAGTTATCTCCACAGCCTAACCAGGTGCTGACTTTAGAACATGCCCAAATGACTCATAAAAGGAAACTGTTAGAGAAGATCACTATGAAAAAGGAAAACCGTGTTTCACCTTCTTTGAAAATCACCCAATACATAACAAAGACTTTCATGTTCTCCTGATGGCAGATCAATGATGTAAAATAAATTAAGGAAGATATATTCAACACACTATGGAACCACATAAAACATTTATGACATAATTATTTAATATTTCATAACTTGGTTTACAGGACTGCTAAAAATTACAAAGATTTGTATGGCATTCTATGGAAAATAATGTACTTATGCAATAAGGTTTATGTATTTTAGCCTAACACCTCCATATAATTTTTTTTAAAAGATGAGATCTATTTTTAAAATAAATTATACTATGGCAAGAAATAATTCTCCATTTCTTAAAAAGATTTTATTTATCCCTAGAGAGAGGGGAAGGGAGGGAGAAAGGAGAGACAGAAACATCAATGTGTGCCTGCCCCTCGCACAACCCCCACTGGGGACCTGGCCGGCAATCCAGGCATGTGCCCTGACCAAGAAATGAACTAGCCATCTTTCGGTTTGCAGGCTGATGCTCAACCCACTGAGCCACACCAGTCAAGGCTATACTATATTTTTAACAGAGGATTATAATTTGGGATGACAGAAACCAGAGGACAGAACCAGTTATCCTAGATGCATCTAGGAAACATACACTCTGTTCACTGGGCAACAGATCAAGTCCCTTCCCCCCCCTTTCTCACTTCACACATTATCCTCCATCACCTTCATTATTCTACTTTTGGCTTAAAACCACTTTCTGTGAATGGTTTTCTGTCTCCTCTTTGTAGAATCAGATGTTTGAAATATGCCCCCAGAAAACAAAAGACACTGAATTTTTAATTTATGCAAGTACATAAATAAAGTACTCAAAATAGCACAATCAAATGTGACCATATAGAAAACAAAAAGGATATTAATTTTTCCGAGTTTAGATGGCAAAGTAGCTTCCCCAAAGGAGGATAGCGGTTTAGTGAGGACACACATCCCAGGAGAATCAGTTTATGTTTGGCTCTGGTAATAGCAACATTAAGTCGTCGCCAGTCTTTCAAGAGTTCACCAAGCTGAAAGATAGGTAATTTTCAATTATTTGAGGTTTCTTATATATTTGGGTTTGTTCTGGCAAAGAACACAATTTGTCTTGAACTGTTTTATTACTTTTAATGCTAACCAATAGACCACCAGGGAAAGGTTATTTTATTACTTTTAAAAATATATACTGCACGTCAGCAAATGAGTGGGTCAATAAACTGTGGTACATTTACACAATGGAATACTATGCAGCAGAAAGAAGGAGCTCCTACCCTTCTCGAGAACATGGATGGAACTAGAGAGCATAACACTAAGTGAAATAAGCCAGGTGGTGAAAAACAAATACCATATAATCTCACCTATAAATGGAAACTAATCAACAACAACAACAAAAAAGCAAACAAAATATAACCAGAGACATTGAAATAAAGAATAAACTGACAGTAACCAGAGGGGAAGGAGGAGAGGAATAATGGGGGAAAATAGGGGAAGGGTCGTCAAGGAATATATATATGAAGGCCTCATGGACAAAGCCAAAGGGGTTAGTTTAAGATCGAGGGTGGGAGGTGGGGGTGGGTGGGACAGAGAGGAGTAGTGAGGGGAAAATGAAGACAGTTGTACTTCAACATCAATTTTAAAAGTTACACACATATATATACATATATATACATATAGCAAAAAAGATTCATCAACACATTTAAAAATCTTGACTTTTGTAAACATTTGCCCACAATATCAACTTCAAATATTTCATCTTTGGTGTGATATCCTAGCCATAATCTAAAATTATTAGATACATATTAAAAACAAAAAGTAAAGCTATCTTCCATTCATTGTAGCATTGTTTGTTACAGTAATAAAAGTAGAAGACTCAGGGGAGTGGTTAAATTACACCATGACACATACATATAGGGTCCGGCATGTGTAACAGCTGCTGGAGTGTGGTTGGTGGGGTAATAATATGGGTGTAATAATTAATAGTTTCAATTTGGACATTTTACCTAAAATGTCATATGGTGTGCTTCAGTGCGATATGTTACAGAATTACATGCTTATGATTTTGTAATAAAAAATTCTGTAATAAAAAAGGGGCATTATTTGTGCCAGACCCTGTATAATGGAAAACCATGTAACAGTAAGAACAGAATGAAATCTCTGTGTGCTGACATAAAAAAGATCCCCAAGCTATTTAATTAAGTGACAAAGCAAAAGTTCAGAATAATATATTTTCACCTTTTGTGTAAAAAGGAGGGAACTATGAATACTGATTCTCATCTGCTTGTATATGCCTAGGAAATTCTAGAAGGTTATTAAAAAAACGAAAAATGTAATTATCTGTGAGTATAAAAACTGAGTAGAAAAGGAATATGGTAGAAGGGAGACTTTTTACTATGCACATTTTTACAACCATATAAAAGTATCACATAATCAAGAAAAAAATCAAGAAGAGGTAAAAATGAAAATAAAACAAAAACTGGAATTATCTATAAATCTAAAAGTATATCTGAGAAAGCCTTATATTTAAAATGCCCCAAATGCTCCTCAGAAAACAATGAAACTGCCTTTTGACCCAGCAATTCCACTGCTGGGATAATAACCTAAGAACCCTGAAACACCAATCCAAAAGAACCTATGCACCCCAATGTTCATAGCAGCACAATTTGCAATAGCCAAGTGCTGGAAGCAACCTAAGTGCCCATCAGTAAGTGAGTGGATCAAAAAACTATGGTACACTTACACAATGGAATACTATGTAGCAGAAAGAAAGAAGGAGCTCCTCCCCTTTGTGATAGCATCAATGGTACTGGAGAGCATTATGCTAAGTGAAATAAGCCAGGTGGTGAGGGACAAATACCATAAGATCTCACCTTCAACTGGAACATAATCAACAAAAGAAAAAAGCAAGCAAAATATAACCAGAGACACTGAAAGTAAGAACAATCTGACAGTAACCAGAGAGAAGGCGGGAGGGGATAATGGGGGAAAGGGTTTTCAGGAACTACTATAAAGGACGCATGGACAAAACCAACGGGGAAGGTGGAAACAAGGGAGAGAGCAGGGTTTGGCTGAGGTTGTGGGGAGCAGTGGAGGGAAATGCAGACAACTGTAATTGAACAACAATAAAATAATTTTAGAAAATAAAATGCCCCAAATGCAATAGCCAAGAGGTAGAAGCTACCCAAATGCATGTTTATGGATAAATGAATAAACAAAAGTAGCATATACATGCAAAGGAATATCATTGAGATTTTAAAAATAAGGAAATTGTCACATGCTACAACATGGATGAACCTTGAGGGCATCATTCTAAGTGAAGTAAGCCACTTACAAAAGGACAAACATTCTAAGATTCCACTTGTATAAGGTACCTAGAGTAGTCAACTTCATAGAGACATAGAGCAGAATGGTGGTGGCCAGGCTGGAGTGGGAAGGAATTAAGGAGTTGTTATTCATAGGTATAGAGCTTCAATTTGCAAAATAAAAAGTTATGGAGATCTGTTGCATGACAGTGTGAATATACTTAACACTACTGAACTATATACACTTATAAATAGTTAGGTTGGTAAATTTTATGTTCTGTGTTTTTACAATTTCTTTAAAAAAGAGGAATAAAAATATGTCCCAGACAAATCAGCAGAAAATACACTTAACTTACCGTTCCATCTTGATTACTTCTAACAAAAGACACTAGAATGATACTTTTGTCTCTTCCTTGGTATTTGTCTACTGTATTAACTTCAACCACCCCAACAGATGAATGTGCCAATAAATCATTGATGATCTTTAACTGCTGCCTATATGGTGCAATAATACCAATATCAGAGGGATTACATCCAGCCTAAACAGAAAAAACACAATGTAAAATTTTTAAAATCTTGCTTGATTTTTGTTATTTAAGCTTTACTAAATTCATTAAATTAAATGTTTACTACATAATGTGCCCAACTGATGTTTCTAATAGATATTCCTAAGACAAGGAGTAAATATAATTATTGAGTTTGTTCTAAATCAAAATTCACATTTCCCGAGCTGAAATAATTTCCTCAAACATTGCCCCCTGATTTTTAGGAGTTCGTGGCAGTGTAAAGGTTTGCATGCCACTAGACCACTGCTGCCATACAAAAAAAGCATAAAAATATACATTTCAACTTCTGCTATCCAACTCCCACTGACGTTTCCGATCCCCAATCACACCGACAACAGCACTATATTGACACAATCAGAATTATTTGATGTTACAAGTTATCCTAAAAAGAAACCCAAAATGCCATTATAAAAAAATTACATGTCTGGGATAAATTTTCTCAAAATGAAACAATCAGACTTCAGTTCTCTTAATAAACAAGGGTAAATGCTACTATATCTCAAGTTCCTTGCATTCTAACATTCTTTTACTTTGCAAATATTAATTTGCCCTCAAAGTAAAATACTAAATTACCTTAATAAAAGTCAAAGTCAGGAAGACAATGAGTTTGGCTTCTGTTATATTGCTCACACCACTCTTTTCAACTTGTTCTGGTGCTGGAACCTATATAGAAAAATAAGCATCCTGCTTGTAAATAATCTCTAAAGTTAAGAGCACACAGGTAGCTGTAAGAGGCTGTACTGCCAGTTGTGGAGACAGCTGAAAAATTTCTTCATCTTAAAAGTTGAAATGAGATTATTCACTTTCAGAAAGCCATCCAGAGGCAACCGTCTTAAACATGCCACAGTTCAGACTAAAATTTCTATGAAAGCCGACCGCACATGGGGCTTCACATGCTTTACTTTGTAATCCCCCATGTTAAGGACTCGAAGGCCAAAAAAGATAAGGCTCAAGGGCTCACAATGAATCATGGCACTAGGAATGAAAACTTAGATCTGGCTCCAATATCTGTGCTCTTTCCATTTTCTTGTTGCCTTTTACACAAATAATGGAGCAGATAAAGTTCCCCGGGTTCTACAACACATGGTAAAATTCCCCAGGGACTATTTTGCTCTACATATCCCTAACTAACCTTGATTATTTTTAATAGAACTTATTTGGAATCCTGATGCTAAGAAAGAGAAAACCTGAGTAATAAAAATAAAGAACCTGAGCAATCATTAGTGAGGTAAATAATTGTACTGTAAATTAACTAATAAATTAAACTGTGGTTTATGAAAGCAGTCATCTGTGAAATCAGCTTATTTAAATGAATTTCCTAGAATCTGCCCACCTCCAAGTGTTAATTCTTGAACCTGAAATGCTCAGGGCAATATCCAAGAGAATGAAAATTCCAAGAATGTATGCACAATTAGGCCCCATTTTTAACAATCACCTAACTCCACCATCTTAATAACAAATGATACATTTCAGAATAATATGCATACATGTAATTGGACACTATATTTTTATTTGAACTTACATAAAGACTTCTAAATCAATGCTGAGAAGCACTATGTAAAACAAACTGTAGGGGTATAGGGTCAAAACTTTATTCTTAGTTCCTAGAAATAAGTCATTTAAGGTCCTTGTGAAGATTTTTGTTTAATGCCAAGTTTGTAAAGAGGTTTTTATGTGTATAAGTGGGGTCAGGAAACTTCCTTACTTTCAGCTCAATTGTGCTGTGAACCTAAAACTACTCTAGAAAAAATAACGTCTATTTTTAAAAAAATCTTTAAAAGGACAAAAATTTGTCATATCTTGTGTCCATTTGCAAACCCAGCCCTTGGACACTATTAATGCCAGTTTCTTTTCTAGGAAATGTAATTATACTCTTGAGTTCACTTCCTAGCTTTCCTACTAAAAGTCAATTTTGATATCTGTCAATCCTCAAAAAACCCTCCTCCCAATGATAATGGATCTACAAAAAAATTTTGCGTGTGTTGCAAAAGTGTACAAGAAGTATACTACTTTTACTGCTATGCTCTAATGAGGCATTTGTTGTTGAAAACTGCAGAATTTAAATAGGAAAAAAGGAGAAAAGCCCCCCCAAAAAAGTTGTTTTGTTTTCCTTTACCTGGTCTGTATTAAGAAAACAAACAGGATTGTTTGGTTCAAATGCTCCAATCAGCCAAGGACTTTCTGAATAATCAGCATAAAATTCCAGTTCCAGCTTTACATCTTTAAAGTTAGGTAGGTTTATCACTGCATTGGCCACTTTGTCTGATCCACATTCCAGCTTTCCTTCATATGTCAGTTTATTACTTAAGGACATGATTTTACTAAGAGAATTACAAAAATAGTTTTAGTTTTGGTGGATGAAAACAAACACGGAAATCCCTCGTAGCTGCCACCGTTACAAATACCTGTTCATTCTGTACTGCACAGTTAATTGTACAACAGCATCTTTATTCTGCTCCAGCCTCTTGAATAAGCTTTCACTCATGCCAAGAGCTCTGTCAACATAAATTGAGGCTCATCAGTGTACTGTAACTGTCCCTTAAAAAGAATCTAATTTAAAGTTAAAACTTCAATGTCTGCTTACCTTGCTTCACGGTTTAGCACCAGGGGAGGAAGCTGCTGATGATCCCCTACCAACACAAATCTCCGAGAAAAAAAAAGGGGCCCCAGGCAAACTGGTTGGCTAATTTGAGATGCTTCATCCACAATACAAAAATCAAAAACTTTACGGGAAAATATTGGATGGTTTATTCCCATACATGTTGTTGCAACTATAAGCTAAAGACAAAGAAAATAGACCAGTTATTTAATATGTCCAAAAAATGTAACTTCTTTTTCCTATTTTTGAAACTAAAAAATATAAAAAGACTTTCATCTCCAATAACAGGAATTCCCCAATATTATTTAATTCTAAGATACAACATGCAAAAAAGTTTAATTTTTACTACAAATTGAAAAAAAATAAATTTTCCAAACACCCTAACAATTCTCAAGTTTGCAGGCCAAACCCAGCTCCAACAGAAGCCAAAGGAACAGATAAGAAGCCTAGTAAACAGAAAACTTGTATACAGTAACCACTCTACTCTAGCCGAACACCACAGAAAAAACTGTGGCCTCACCCACTACCAATGCAAGCAGCGACTGAACTAGGAAGCTAGACCCCAACTGTCGCAAGATGTTATAGCAGCGCTCCACAATACCCTATTGGGGCAGTACCAGAGAAAGCCAAGCAGGGAACCAGGATTTCCATTCCCGCTGGCTGGTTATATGCCCCTACCTGCAATGTCACTGGAGACTGTGCGGAGAGCCTGGACTTCCACCGTATCCAGAAGTAATGAGGAGCCCCCCCACCTTATGTGTCAATAAGGCTGAGTGTGGAACCTGGACTTCAACTCCCACCTGGCAGTAATGAGGTAGCATATCCTCTTGTCCTACCAGAAGTGTCAGAGGAAGCCAGCTAAAAACAAAAGTTTGTGTTTTTTTAATATTTTACTTATTCATTTTTATAGAGAGGGGAAGAGAAAGAGAGGGAGACAAATATCAATGTGTGGTTGCCTCTCACATACCCCCTACTGGGGACCTGGCCCGCAACCCAGGCATGTGCCCTGACTGGGAATGGAACTGGCGACCCTTTGGTTCGCAGCAGCAGCTCAATCTACCGAGCCACACTGGCCAGGGCTGAAAACAAGTTTTAAATAACATTATATAAAATTGCTCAGGTTTCATCCAAAATAATCACTCATTATGCACAGAACCAAGAAAATCTCAAACTAAATGAAGAAAAACAATCAACAGATGCCAACACCAAGATGACATTAGGATCATGTGACAAAGATTTTAAAGCAGCCCTGAGAAATGTTTAAATGAGCAATTATGAACATATTTGAATCAAATGAAAACATTACACGTCTAAACAAAATAGAAAATTGCAGCAAAGAAACAAAAGATATAAGAATCAAATTTTAGAACTGAAAATACTTGTACAAAAACCAAATTTTTAAAAGACCACAAAACAGGCTCAACATTGGGAGGCAGGGGAAAGAATCAGTGAACAGAGACTCAGAAAAATAGAAATTATTTCAGGGCTCAGTGAAAAAGATGAAGGAATTAAGATACAAATTGGCAGTCACAGAATAGTCATGGGGATTGATTATAGGTTGTAGTCAATAATATTGTAATAATGTATAATATCAGGTGGGTACTAGACCTATGGAGGTATCATTTCATCAGTTATATAAATTTCTAACCACTATACCATACACCTGAAACTAATATAATATTGAATGTCAACTGTAATTAAAAATGTTTTAATTTAAATAATTATAGAAATTATGTAATCACTGACCTGTGGAACATAACAAAAGATCTAACATTCATGTCCTCACAGTCCTAGAGAAGGGGCTGTAAAAAGTACTAGAAGAGCCCTGGCTGGTGTAGCTCAGTGGATTGAGTGCCAGCCTGCAAACCAAAGGATTGCTGGTTTGATTCCCAGTCAGGGCACATGCCTGGGTTGTGGGTCAGGTCCCTGATGTGGGGGGCATGTGAGAGGCAACCACACAGTCATGTTCCTCTCCCTCTCTCCTTCCCTTCCCCTCTCTCTAAAAATAAATAAATAATCTTTTATTAAAAAAAAAAAGATACCAAGTAAAAGGTAGAGTTTGGCAGAGTAGATAAAAAAACATGTCCTAGCTAAACACTACAAGGAAATCACTTCGACTTTAATAAAAGTCATGTTGAGAGTAAAAAAAATGGAGTATCATACTGATTTTCATTTGTTGAATTATCCCATTTGTTCATCATATATAAACTTTTTAGTATGCTGCTGAATTCAGTTTATGAGTATAGTGTTGAGAATTTTTATATCACTCAAATATGCCCACAAATTTTTTTAACACAGGTGCAAAAGCAATTCAATGGAGGAATGAAAGGATTTTTTCAAGAAGTGCAACTGGACATCAAAACAAGCAAATAAATGAACCTTGACCTAAATCTCACACCTTGTACAAAAATGAACTCAAAATGGTAACAGACTTAAATATAAAACATAAAAGTATAAAGCTTTTAGAAAAAAATAAAAACGGGAAACTTACAGCATCTGCAGCTAGACAGAGTTTTTAGACTTGACACTAAAAACAGAATGCATGAAAAATTATATACTGGACTTGATTGAAATTAAAACCTTTCCTGCTGCAAAAGACCCAGTGAAGAGGATGAAAAACAAGCTACAGGGGAAATATTCACAAATTACATATCCAATAAGGACTAATATCTAAAATATATAAAGAAGTCTCAAAACTCAGCATTAAAAAATAAGCAATCTAAATGGGCAACAGATATGAAGAGACATTTTAGTAGAGAGGATATACAGATGGCTAACAAACACACAAAACCATAACTAACCATTAGGTAGCTATTTTCAACAAGTGTGCTACAAGAATTTTTAAAAGTTGCAATACCTGACTATTTTAGTCAGGGGCACTGACCTCTTTTCCCTTAAATTATCAAATAAAAAAATGACAACAGCCAAAACAACAATAGGCATCCAGTGTGAATGAATCAAAATTATACCTATATTTGGGACTTTCGGCCAAGATAGAGGCATAGGTAGACACAGTGTCTCCTCGCACAACCAAAACAAGGACGACAACCAATTTAAAAACAAAAAACAACCAGAACTGACAGAAAATCAAACTATATGTAAGCCCAACAACCAAGGAGTTAAAGAAAAAATATTCATCTAGACCAGTAGGAGGGGCAGAGATGGGCAGCTGGTCAGAGAGGACTCACAGGAAGGTAGTGGCTGGAGGACCTGCGGTCCCACATTCGCATGCAGATAAACCAGGAGGAACAATGGGGCAGGGGGCAGGGATCAACCACACTACCCAAGGATCCAGTATCAGTAAATAAAGCCTCAAATCTCTGACTGAAAACACCTGTGGGGGTTGAGGCAGAAGGAGAAACTCCCAGCCTCACAGGAGAGTTAGTTGGAGAGACCCACAGGGTCCTAAAATGTACACAAACCCACCCACCAGGGAATCAGCACCAGAAGGGCCCAAGTTGCTTGTGGGAAGCAGGGGAAGTGACTGAAAACTAGCAGAGAGCAGAGCAACCAGCATTGTTCCACCTCAGACTCCTCCCCCACAAACAGCGTCACAACCCAGAAACATGGGTTGCTCTGCCCGGGTGAACACCTAAAGCTCTACCCCTTACTACTAACAGGCGCACTGAGACCAAAACAAAACAAAATAAAACAAAACAAAAAAATAAAAAAGGCCCAAATGAAAGAACAGTTCAAAGCTCCAGAAAAAATACAACTAAGTGATGAAGAGATAGCCAACCTATCAGACACACAGTTCAAAACACTGGTTATCAATATGCTCCAGGAACTCACTGGGTACTTCAACAGCATAAAAAAGACCCAGGCAGCAGCCCTGGCTGGCGTAGCTCAGTGGATTGAGCACGGGCTGGGAACTAAAGTGTCCCAGGTTCGATTCCCAGCCAGGGTACATTCCTGGGTTGCAGGCCATAACCCCCAGCAACCGCACATTGATGTCTGTCTGTCTGTCTGTCTGTCTGTCTCTCCCTCCCTCCCTTCCCTCTCTGAAAATGAATAAATAAAATCTTTAAAAAAAAAAAAAAAAAGACCCAGGCAGCAATGAAGGTTGCATCATGTGAAATTGAAATGAAGAAAAATCTACAGGGAACCAACAGTGAAGGGGAGGAAACCAGAACTCAAATCAATAGTGTGGACCAGAAGGAAGAAAGAAACATTCAACCAGAACAGAATGAAGAAACAAGAATTCAAAAAAATGAGGAGAGGCTTAGGAACCTCCAGGACATCTTTAAATGGTCCAACATCCGAATCATAGGGATGCCGGAAGGAGAAGAGGAAGAGCAAGAAATTAAAAACTTATTTGAACAAATAATGAAGGAGAACTTCCCCAATCTGGCAAAGGAAATAGATTTCCAGGAAGTTCAGGAAGCTCAGAGAGTCTCAAAGAAGTTGGACCCAAGGAGGAACACACCAAGGCACATCATCATTAAGTTGCCCAAGATTAAAGAGAAGGAGAGAATCTTAAAAGCAACAAGAGAAAAAGAGAGAGTTACCTACAAAGCACTTCCTATTAGACTGTCAGCTGATTTCTCAAAAGAAACCCTACAGGCAAGAAGGGGCTGGAAAGAAATATTCCAAGTCATGAAAGGCAAGGACCTACATCCAAGATTGCTCTATCCAGCAAAGCTTTCATTTAGAATGGAAGGGCAGAGAAAGTGCTTCCCAGATAAGGTCAAGTTAAAGGAGTTCATCATCACCAAGCCCATATTATATGAAATGTTAAAGGGACTTATCTAAGAAAAAAAGATAAAAAATATGAACAGTAAAATGACAAAGAACTCACAGCTATTAACAACTGAACCTAAAAAAAACCCCCCAAACCAACTAAGCAAACAACTAGAACAGGAACAGAATCACAGAAATGGAGATCATATGGAGGGTTATCATTTGGGGAATGGAAGGGGGAGAGGGAGGGAAAAGGTACACAGAATAAGTAGCATAAATGATAGGTAGAAAATAGACAGGGGGAGGTTAAGAATAGTATGGGGAAAGTAGAGGCCAAAGAACTTATATGTATGACCCATGGACATGAACTAAAAGGGAGGAATGCAGGTGGGAGGGGATGTGCAGGGTGGAGGGGAATAAAAGGAGGAAAATGGAATAACTATAATAGCATAATCAATAAAATACATTAAAAAATTATACCTATATTTTGTCAGATCATCAAAAAATATAAATTTTTTGGTGTGCTGCAGAATTTCAGTAATTATTTAATGTGTTCCATGAGATGAAAAAGATTGAAAAATCGCTGCCTTAGAGAAAAATACAATGAGATATCACTATACACCAATCAGAATGTCCAAGATGAAAAACAGTAACACCAATAACACATGCTGATAAGGATCACTCATACATTGATGGTAGAAGTATAAACTGTTACAGCTGCTTTGAAACACAGTTTGGTAGATCTCTAAAAATCAAAATATGAAACAACCAAATGACCCAGAAATTGCACCCCTGAGCATTTATCCCAGAGAAATGAAGGCTTACATTCACATAAAATCCTGTACACAAATGTCTATAGTACCTTTACTCCTAATAGCTAAAAATAGGAAAAAACTCAGATGTCTTTCAATAAGTGACTGGTTAAACTATTGTGGTACATCCATGCAATGGACCAATATTCACCAGTAAAAAAGGAACAAATTATTGACACATGCAGTGATCTGAATCTCCAGAGCACTGGGGTAAGAGAAAAGCACCAATCCCAAAAGGTTGCAAACTCTATAATTCCATTTATATAACATTCTTGATATGACCAAAATTATAGAAATGGAGAACAGGTAAGTGGTTATCAGAGTTTAAGGAGGGGTGGGATGGGAAAGAAATGGGTAAAGTTATAACAGTGTGACATGAATGATACTTGTGGTAACAAAGTATCTTATTATACTTTGGTAACAAAGCTAACAAAGATAATTTTGTTACTTGTGGTAACAAAGCTACTTTGTTACTTGTGATAACAAAGCTAACTATTCTGGGTCAATGTCAATGTCCTGGTTCTGATAGTTCACTACAGTTTTGCAAAATGTTACCATCAGGCAAAGGATACACAAGATCTCTGTATTGTTCCTTAAAACTGCATGTGAATCTATAATTATCTCAAAAGAAAAAGTTTAATTTTTAAACAGTAAATCACACTTCAAATTTTTTTAAATAATTGGCGTAGATATTAGACAAAGGAGTTAAAAGAATAGCCTATAAATGTAATTTATTTTAGATGATTTTTTAAGACAAAAATACCAGTTAAGACCTCCTAGTAAAAATATATAGATGTAAAGTTAAATAATAAAATATAAATTAGGTTCTATACCAAAGACTAGAAAAACCCATCACAAGACTGTTCATGTGCCATTGCTTCTAATTCAAACTCACTAAAAGAATCCTGATTAATAGTTTTCTAGGTGTGATAGTATGATATAATAGGGAATATATATTTGGCCTTCCTCCTAATTCTTGGCACAGGGCTCCTAAACACCCTTGGAATTTCCTGAGTGACGGGGGAGAGAGGAATATCTTTTGTTATTCACAATTAGCCCCTTTCAGCCAAACCAGAATTTATTGAAATGAGGTGACACTGAAGATGGGAGCTGGTTGCCAGTGGAACCACTCACGTCATTATAGGGTTAGAACTTTCATCCATTCCTCCAGCTCCAAGAAGATGGCTGGGGATTGACCAATCACCAGTGGCAAATGATTAATCAGACCTACATGATGGACTCGCCATAAAAATCCCAAAGGGGCATGGCTAACACATCATGGTGCTGGGAGGGTAGTTCACCCTAAGCATCCTAAGTACCCTAAGCATCTCTTCCATTTGGCTGTTCCTGAATTGTATCCCATATAAGATATTCAGTAATAGTAAGTAAAGCACTTTCTTGTGTTCTATGAGCCATCCTAACAATTACTTAACCCAAGGAGGAGGTTATAGAAACCCCAGTTTACAGCTAGCTATTCAGTAGCACAAGAGGTCCTGATTTGCAATTTAAACTGAAGTAGGGGGCAGTCTTGTGGGACTAAGCCCTTAACTTGTGGGGTCTGCAGTAACTCCACATAGTTAGTGTCAAAAGTGTTGTGAGTAGAGAGAGACAGAGTTTTCCTTTACTGGGATATTTTAAACCAAAAATCTCATTTCATTTCAGAAGCAAACAGCAAACTATAAATTAGTAAATTGGTCTTGAGGTTTACACGAATCAATTATGTGCAAATTTGGTCAATGTGACTAAATTTCCCAGAGTGCTGTTTCCCCCCTCATTCTGGCTACAGAAATTAGTATCAGCATTATTAATCAGCATTATTATACCATACTGTACTTACTTGACTATTGTAGAGTTCTTCTAGAAGAGCTAAAGATTTAATAGACTTTGATCTGCAAATTTCCTCCTCTGTAAATTTCTGAATATCTGGATGTACCTTCTGAGGCTGACCCAAGCGCAAAAATCCTATTTTAAACTTGGCTAACTTCAAAAGAATATTGTCAACAGCAGAGTGTGTATAACTGGTCAATAAAACACTAAAACCACAGGTGTAGAGAATTCTTACCTAACAATGAGTAAGAGAAAGGAAACCAGCATTACTTTCAATTCCGGATCATTTTTAATATGCTCATATTTTTCTAATAAAGTCAGAAAACTTAATAGGAAGCCTGTCTAAGAATAGAACCAAGTAACTTTTTTAAAATTATAAGGCCAAAATGTTTTATGAAAGTAACATGGCATTATTATGCTATTAATGATGTTAATTAAATACATATAAAATTTGAATATTAATGATGTTAAATACATATAAAATTTGAACAGTATCAATCAATAAACATCTGCTATTATCATGAGTAATCAGTAAATTACTACTCAGAAATTTACCAATATGAAAAAAATCCAAGAAAATCTATTCAAACCACCTCTATATAATTTATTTTTTTAAAAGGAAGGGAAACATAACAATGATACATATACCACCAAAACAGAGACATCAGACAATCCTAAATGTAAGAAACCTACAACATGATTACAACTATCTGTAATTTAACTTTTCTATTTCTCATGTCATCCTAAAATGTTAATTTGAAATAAAGACACTTTGAGTTAAAATTCAGCCCTTTTGGTAGCAAACATCACAATCTCTGAACAAAGGAGAAGCTGATTTACATATTTAGTATCTAAGCAAAAGCACAAGAGTCTTACAAGAGTACATATTGTAGTTGTCTTCCCTGTTCCAGGCATGCCCACGATGAGTGTGTAGTCTCTTGAAAGAAGTACCTTTTTCATTGCTTGCCTCTGAGGCTTATTCAAGCCTACATTTAAATTTAAAAATAACAGGAAAAAGTATGTTGAATTTCAATGAGCAAATTAATTATTTTATAAAAGTAGCTGCCATTCAAATTTCTTCAATATATCTTTGCAAAGTGAGAAAATATGGTGATATTAAAAAAATATGGAAACTACTTTCAAAAAGACTGTCTAAAAACTGTAACTGCATAAAAATTAATAAAACACGAAACTATAATGTAGATTAAACTATAAACAGAACCAAAATAATTAATGGAAGCAGACAGGCTGGTAGCAGACCTTTTAGAATAGAGGCAACTGCATCCTTTGCATCATGTGGAAGAACAGAACTGAGATAGGATATAAACTGAGGTTCACGCAAGTCAATGATTAACTCTCGAAGTTTTTGGCTGCAAAGAAAAAAATGCTTTTAGTAATATTTCTTAGGAAAGTGAGATAAAATTAAAATTCATTCACTGTTACAAACCTGGTATCAGTATTTTTCATCAATTTAGAAAGATTTCCTAATGGGGTATTTATATCACAATTTTTTTCTTCCTGGTCCAGTCTGAACAAAGTTGATTCTGGGAGTACTGACAAGTTCCTAAAACAGGAACACAGATGTACATGAATGTTTTTCACTCAACATAGTCAGTCAATTATACAAGAAATACACTGCTGTCTGGAAAAAGAGCAAATGGGCCAGGGTAGCTATTAAAATGGCTACCAGCCCGTAATTCATACTTGGCAATCAAAGAGTACAAAGTCTTGGATTGTGGGAAAAGGGAGAAGGGGAGAGAGAGCACAAGGCACCAAGGTAAAAAGGCCAATATCAGGAACCTATAACAATTGCCAACAATTCACCTGACCTTGCAATCCTGGGCTCACAGCCCTAGAAGGATCCTGAGCCAAGGCTCTCCCTCCATGGGCCTGGAGCACAGGATTCTTTCCTGGCACCTTCTTTCACTCCACCAGCAGCCCATCAAACCCTGGTGTTCCCAATGGTCCCTTCTACTGCTCTTTCTTGTCATTTTCCCTTAGGTGCCATGCCATCACATGGCTTTAAATCCCAAATCTTCATCTTTAGGCCTGACCTCACATTCTTCTCCCACCTGGTTCCTCACCCAAGCTTCAGATTTGGATATCCAGTAGGTAGCAAGGTCTTTCCACCTGGTTAAAACCTTGGCTAAGAAAGCTCAGTATATCCAAAACTGCACAATGCTTCGTCCCTGCTAAACCTGATCCTCCTTCCATGGTCCTGACCTCAGCCAACAGCTCTTGCATCTACACTGCTGCCTTGATCCTTCCCTCTTCTCACCGACTTCTCAACCTGGATACCCAGTGAGCATTCAAATGCCAGCCAGCTTGACTTTCTAAGTACTTGTCAAAGTCACTCCAGCCTCTCTGCCAAACCCACCCTGCCCTCATTCACCTGGAGCCTGGGCTATTACAGCAGTGTCCTGGTTTCTCTGCTTTCAGTTTTGCCTCCATCAACTAATGCTACTCTCCACAGTGTATCCACAGGAAAAAAAGCAAGTATGATTATCAGTCTTCTGTTTAAAACTCTTTGGCACAGCTGAATAAAGTCAAAACTTCTTAACATATAAGACCACCTTCAATCTGACCTCTCCAATCATTCCTTTATCTTTCACATTCTAGAAAAAACTACCTGCACTTTCCTGAATGCTCCACTTCACACTACATGACAGCATCATGCCTTTACATACCATGTCCCCTCTGTCTGGAATACTCTGCCCACATTACTTCAGCAGGCTAACTTACTGAGATTCAAAATGACCTCTTTCTCTCTCTCTTTTTTATTTTTTGTTATTTTTTTTACTGAGTTCACTAGGGTGACACTGGTTAATAAAATTATACAGGAATCAGGTGTACAGTTCTATAATACAACATCTGTATACTGCATTGTATGTTCACCACTCCAAGGCAAGTTTCCAACACCCTTTATCCCCACTTTACCACTCTCTTCTAACTCCCTCACCTAAATCCCCCTGGTATATGACCCCTTTCAAAAACCTTCCCTGAACCTCCTAAAATTGGGCTGAATGTCTCTCCTTGGTGTTTCCAGCAATCTAAACACTTGTCATATTAGACTGAACACACATTTATGTATTTGTCTACCCACAAGACCATAATTCCTTAAGGATTTGCAAAGCACCTAACACATGGTAGTCACTAAATAAATACTACAAAGACTGCAGAGAATCTTAATAGACAACACAAGTATTGTGGCTCATACTCCCATAGCACAAAACCCAGGCTAGCACCGGCTACAGCTTAACTGGGATGACTGGGAGAGAACAGCCTGGACATCTCCATTGCAGGTGCCCAGGAGTCACTGCACCCCAGTCACCGATCTCTACCCACGAAGAAATGGTGACATATGCTGCACGTCAGAGCAAGGATGGCTGGCAGTACAGGAAGAGGGGGACATGGCTATTGATAAACATGGATATTAGACTGTGCCACAAAATTTTATAGCAACTTTTCTATTATTTACTTAATATTTTTCTTTAATCAACCTGTGTTGTTTTAACTGAGATAAATGTCACAACTATAAATGGGAAAAAAATCATTTTTTAAACAGCAGGGAATGAACTGGTGAGTGACCAAAGTGCTAAGGAGAAACAAGCTCTATGTTGAACACAGGATGTCTGTCCTGTCCACGGCACCCGTGGCCGTGAGAACTAGAAAAGACTGTGTCCACATTAGCACTATGGGATGTGATGCACTGAGCAAAAGATTAGCAGTTTGGTGGTTCCTCAACATGTCAAACATAAAATTAGTACACAACCCAGCAATTCCACTATGATGTATCCACAAAGGGAAATAAAAATACATTCACACAAAAATTTGTATGTGAATATTTATAGCAACACTAGCCATAACATCCAAAAAGTGAAAATAACTCTAACGTCTATCAGCTGGTGAACAGATGAATAAAATGTGGCTTATCTATGTAACAGAATATTATTCAGCCATAAAAAGAAATGGGGTACTTTAAAAAAAGGAAAAGATGAGGTACTGATAAATGATGAAATGCAGATGAACCTCATAAACAAGAGTCAGACAAAAAATATCACATATTATATGGTTCTACTTATATGAAATATCCAGAAGAGGTACATCTATAGAGACAGAAAGCAAATTAGTTGTTGCCAGGCACGGGAGGGAGGGGACAGTGAAAAGCGATGACTTCCCTTGGCCAGCGTAGCTCAGTTGGTTGGAGTATCACCCTGTAAACCAAAAGGTTGTGGGTTTGATTCCTGGTCAGGGCACACACCTAGGTTGCAGGTTTAATCCCTCCATCTGGGCACATTCAGGAGGCAGCCAACAGATGTCTCTCTCTCATATTAATGTCTGTCTGTCTGTCCCCTGAGCCTCACCTCTCTAAAAGCAATGAAAAATATCCTCGGGTAAGGATTAAAAAAATTAAATTAAATTAAAAAAGAAATTGATTGCTTAATGGGTACGTTTACTTTCAGGATGTAAAAAACATCTTGTAACTAGAGACAGGTGATGGTTGCACAATACTGTTAAATGCCACTGGACTGTGTATTTTAAAATAATTAATGACCCTGACCAGGTGGCTCAGCTGGTTAGAGCATAACCCTGTGAACCAAAGGGTTGAGGATTTGTTCCCAGCCAGGGTACATATCTAAGTTGCAGGTTCGATCCCCAGTTGGGGCATGAAGGGGGCAGCTGACAGATGTTTCTCTCTCATCTCAATGTTTCTCTCTCTATCTCCCTTCTTCTCTTTCTGAAATCAATAAACATATCCTTGGGTAAAGATTAAAAAAATTTAAAATAATTCATGGTCTAATTTTATGTTACGTGAATTTTTACCTCAATTAATGTAAGTAAATCACATGACTAAACCAATAGATACAGAAGAAAGCATTAGACAAAATTCCAGCACTCATTTGTGATTAAAAAAATAACAAAAAACCACTCTGTAAACTCAAGATAGAAACTTCAACTTCATAAAGAATACCTATCAAAACCCTACAGTTAACATCACACCTAACAGTGAGAAATAACAGTGAGAATAGGCTAACAAACAAACAAACAAACAAACAAATAAACAGTAGGCAAAGTGAAAAAAGCCAGTCACAAAAGACCACATATTGTGCCCTGGCTAGTGTGGCTCAGTGTACTGAGTGCCAGCCTACAAAGCAAAGGGTCGCTGGTTCGATTCCCAGTCAGGGCACATGCCTGGGTTGCAAGCCAGGTCCCCAGTAGGGGATGTGTGAGAGGCAACCACACACTGATGTTTCTCTTCCTCTCTTTCTCCTTCCCTTCCCCTCTCTCTAAAAATAAAATCTTTTTCAAAAAGACAACATATTGTATATTCACATTTATATGTAATGTTCAGAACAATGAATCTATAGAGACAAAAAAACCTGGTGGTTGTCTAGGGCTGAAGAGTGACTGTTAAGGGGTATAGGGTTTCTCTGTAGGGTAATGAAAATGTTCTAAAATCGATTTTGGTGATGGGCATAACTCTGTGAATATACTAAAAACCATTGAATTGTATGCTTTAAATGGATGAACTGTATGGTATATGAATTATATTTCAATAAAGCTGTTACCCCTACACCCAAAAAGGGAACATGTCATTACCTGTCTAATAAACAGGTTACTGTCGTCCTGCTAATCTCTTTTACATATCCCCTAGACAAAGCAAATAGTGTTCTCTCTTCTCCACTTAAAATAATTCTGTCACCTGCCATTAGATTTGTGATAGGCATGGCACCATTTTTACGTTGGAAATTATGTAAATATTGTCCATCACCAACTGTCTTTACATGTTCTGTTCTGATCAGGTTTCCAATGCAGTTGCCACTCTGCTCCCTATAAAACAAAAAAGATAGAGAAAGCTTCCATTTACATCACATATATAAATACTGTATTTGCAGTTTTCCACAATTTCCTTCTTCATTGGACCCCTAGAAACTCTAATGCTAACATTGAGTCTGTCGGTTTTACATATTCCACACTCCACACTGGAATTTTAGAAATGCTAAGGAAACATTCTCTCTGTTAGCTTTTTTAAAATGCGTAATCTCCCACCAACAGGCCTCCACACACCTGCTAGGGAGCAACTCCCTGTTGCATCACAGGCTGGGATCTCTGAGCAGCATGTGGGCCAGAATTTTGATCCCTGAAGGACACCTCCACGTCCTGGGTGTACCATAACATTAAGGAAGACAAACTGTAATGATCTCTTCCTAAATCTGATGTGAAGAAAACACTAAGCTATTTCTTCAGTGTTTATACAAGGATTTATAATTACTGTTATTACAGTAACAGCAAGCAAACTGATAATTCCACTCCTTCTAGAAAGTAAGTATTAGGCATTTATTGTCTCTCGGGCACTACTATTAAACACTATACACTTCAGAAGCTTGTTGGCATGTACACTCGGCAATTCACTGTACTTACATAGTCTATGGATAACCAGTTAAACTTTCTCCACTGTAATGTTTCCTGTTTAGAAGTCTAGTGTTAAGCAAATAATGGTCTAATTATTTCTAAAGTCACATTATTATCAGTATTCACTATGGAGAGTAACAAATATATAAAAAGCGACTAAATAGAGAAAAATACTATGCAAGACCTATATTAAGGAAGAAAGAAATAACCAAACAGAAAAGAATGGAGAAATGATTCAAAAAAATGAGGAGAAGCCTAGGAACCTCCAGGATATCTTTAAACATTCCAACATCTGAATTATACGGATACCAGAAGGAGAAGAGGAATAGCAACAAGTGGAAAACTTATTTGAACAAATAATAAAGGAGAACTTCCACAATCTGGCAAAGGAAATAGACTTCCAGAAAGTCCAGGAAGCTCCGAGAGCCCCAAAGAAGTTGGACCCAAGAAGGAACACACCAAGGCACATCATAATTACATTAGCCAAGGTAAAAATGAAGGAGAGAATCCTAGAAGCAGAAAGAGATAAGGGGACAGTCACCTACAAAGGAGTTCCCATCAGACTGTCAGCTGATTTCTCAAAAGAGACCTTACAGGCAAGAAGGAGCTGGAGAGAAGTATTCCAAGTCATGAAAGGCAAGGACCTACATCCAAGGTTGCTCTATCCAGCAAAGCTTTCATTTAGAATGGAAGGGCAGATAAAGTGCTTCTCAGATAAGGTCAAGTTAAAGGAGTTCATCATCACCAAGCCCTTATTTTATGAAATGTTAAAGGGACTTATCTAAGAAAAAGAAGATAAAAAACATGTATAGTAAAATGACAGCAAACTCACAATTATTAACAACCACACCTAAAACAAAAACAAAAACAAACTAAGCAAACAACTAGAACAGGAACAGAACCACAGAAATGGAGATCACATGGAGGGTTAGCAACAGGGAAGTGGGAGGAGGAGAGAGGGGGAAAAGGTATGGAGAATAAGTGGCATAGATGGTAGGTAGAAAATAGACAGGGAGAGGGCAAGAATAGTATGGGAAATGTAGAAGCTAAAGAACTTATGACACATGGACATGAACTAAAGGGGGGGATGTGGGTGGGAGAGGGTGTGCAGGGTGGAGGGGAATGAAGCGGGGGTAATGGGACAACTGTAATAGCATAATCAATAAAATATATTAAAGAAAACTGTAAACCTACTTTTGCCCCATCCTATATTTTGTAATAAATAAATGAAGACTATAAAATAAAACAAAAAATACTAAGACTATAAACTTTTATCCTGGCTGGTATGGCTAAGTGAATTGAACACCAGCCTGCAAGCCAAAAGGTTGCCAGTTCAATTCCCAGTCAGGGTACATGCTTGGGTTGTGGGACAGGTCCCCAGCTGGGGGCATGCAAAAGGCAACTGATCGATGTTTCTCTTGCACACCTCCTGCACATTGATGCTTCTCTCCCTCTTTTTCTGTCCTTCTCTTTAAAAATAAATAAGTAAAATATGTTTTTAAAAAACTGTATATTTTCTAAATACTAGTGTTTAAATTATAAAGTAAAAATTCCTTCATTTGCACTCTACCAATATATTGAGTTGGCTAAAAAGTCTGTTACATTTTTTCTATAAAATAAAAGATACATTTTTCATTTTTCACTAGTAACTTTATTGATTTGGATATTCTGAGTATGTCAGCTATCTGCTGCTGTTGGTTTCTAGTGGGCAGAGGCCATGGCTGCTGCTAAATATATCTTCCAATGCATAAGACAGCTCACAGCAAGGAATTACTTGCCAAAATATCAGTAAACCAAGATACTTCACAAACCACTTCTGACATGTTCAATCAGTCACAGCACTTTCTCCATATACTGCACAGATCTTTTTTTGTGTTTCAGTTGCATTTTTACCTTTCTTGAAATAATAAAGCAAAATGTTGCATATTTTCTTCCATCCTCAACATTAAAATGGAAACAAAAATTCATCAATTTTGATAAGTTTTTAAAATACATGCTGATATGACAGCTGTCACAATATGATCGAATAAAATTGTTTCAAATGAAGTTAAAAACAACTAACTAGAGCTATTGTACGGAAAAAACTAAACAACCTTTTTGGCAAACCCAGTATCAAAATTTACCTTATGGTATACTCGAGTTTATACTTTTTTCATTAATAAAAAAGGATTTACTAATACTTTTTAAAGTAAGATTTCTAGCCCTGGCTGGTGTGGCTCAGTGGATTGAGTGCCAGCCTGCGAACTGAAGGGTCACCAGTTCAAATTCCAGTCAGGGCACATGCCTGTGTTGCAGGCCACGTCCCCAGTGCGGGGGTGCACAAGAGGCAACCCACATCAATGTTTCCTTCCCTCTTTTGCTCTCACCCCTCCCCTCTCTCTAAAATAAATAAATAAAACCTTTAAAAAAAATAAGATTTCCAGAGACAAATTTATCCTACTGAAAATATTTAACAGTGGTGCTCTACTTAGAAACAATTTACTGACAGCCATCTGGAGTTAGCATGCATACATGAAACTGCATGTCTTTAACATGCTACATAATCTCTAATGTAGCATTCAATGCCATGAATTTCTAATGACATCCTACTAGCTAATCCAAATTATTGAAGTTTTACTGTATTAAATATACCACTTACATTTCTGAAGAAGACATCAACCATATATTTTGGTGATTCTTTTTGTTGTCCTTTGATTGTGACTCCAGAGTTAACATTAGACACCAAAGGCTGAAATATTCTAAGTGGGTAAGCTTGAGGTGCTGGGTTTCTTCTTTTATTTGGGGCAGCATGCCAATGGGGACTGAACTGTCGTCCGTCTGTTGTTCAACTGCTCTAAAAATAAAGCTCCAAGTCAGAGATGTGTATAAAATATTTTGCTGGCTGGCTATAAAATGAGGTATTTCTAAAATAAATACAGCCCTGACTGGTGTGGCTCATTTGGTTGTGTGCCATCCTGCAAACCAAAAGGTTGAGTGTTCCATTCCTGGTCAGGGCACATGCCTGGCTTGCAGGCTCAGTCCTGGGTTGGGGCAAGTGTGAGAAGCAACGGATCAAAGTTTCTCTCACACATAAATGTTTCTCTCCGTCTCTTTCTCCCTTCCCCTCTCACTAACGGTAAATAAATAAAATCTTTAAGGTAAATAAATAGTAAAATAAAATAAGTATACATATATGGTGATCACCATAACTTATCACTACAGCCCCTAATTTTCTTTCTTTTTTCTTTTTTTAAAAGATTTTATTTATTTATTTTTAGACAGAAGGGAAGGGAGAAAGAAAGAGAAGGAGAAAAACATCAATGTGTGGTTGCCTCTCACGTGCCCCACACTGGGGACCTGGCCCACAACCCAGGTATGTGCCCTGACTGGAATCAAACCAGTGATCCTTTGCTTCACAGGCTGGCACTCAGTCCATTGAGCTACACCAGCCATGGCCCTAATTCTTTTTAAAGTCATTTCAGCTCTGGTTGGTTTGGCTCAGTGTATTGAGAGCCATACTGAAGACTGAGGGGTTGCTGGTTTGATTCCCATCCACGTCACATGCCCGGGTTATAGTCTGGGTCCCCCATGGGGGGCACTCGAGAGGCAGCCACGCATTAATATTTCTCTCCCTCTCTTTCTCCCTCCCTTCCCTTTCTAAAAATAAATAAATAAAATCTAACAAAAAAAGTCATTTCAATATTTTACAAGCCAAATGGCTTTTTACAAAACAAAATACTTAAGACTCAATACTATGTTATTTGCCTTCAGTGGCTATGTCCCTAACAATTACTTAAATTTGGTATACACTGGTCTTCATACCTATATGTAGCAAGTTTTGGCTTTTTCTACAACTGCATTTCTTAAAATCACAATATTTGTACATCCAGCTCTGTGTCATAAGAAAGTCAACATAAAAAGTACGAGAATCATCTAGAGTATCAATTTTGCTTAATGCTAATTCTAAAATTTTATACAGAAACAAATATGTCATAGAATAGCCTACAAAACATTAACAATAAAACATAAGATTTCAAAACAATGTGCTTATAATATAGGCCCAGACTTCCCATGATTCATAGTCCTCTGCTCTTAAGAGGTCTTTTGATACAATAGTTTTTAAAGTCCTTTCTGTGAATTTCCAGGCTGAATTAGAATTTTGGTTCTTATTTGATCTTCTTTCCTAGTCTGTATTTACACCTAACTACTTTTTTGTGTCCTTCAAAACTTTCACTGGCCTACGAAGGCATATATGTGACTGTTTATAAGACAGCTAGAAAATGTCCCATGTGTAATACAATAGGCACATGTAAACAAGACAAGTCCATCAGATCACACTAAACTGTGTGTCTGGAAGAAACTGCCCTGTTTTTAACTGTAAAATGCCTGAAAATAAAGTAGCAGCTAAGAAGTAAAAGATTTCTTGAAAAAGCCATTTACGTTGTATTGTATTCACAATGCCTATACTACATATTACATTTTTCTTAACCAAAGTTTAAAATGCATTCTATTATTCCCTAAGGAAACAGGCTTGTTATAAATTATGAACTGTGCTTTCTTCCATAGAAATACACATGGAAAAAAATGACTAAATAAAATTATCAATGCCAGACCAGACAACAATGTCAAATCGTTCTGAGTCGAGTACCTACTTAACTGAAGTTAGTATTTTTGAAAGACAGTGTGTTTACCTGCTGTAAAGAGCACAGTTGCCCACTTGTGAACAATATTTACAGGTTTGCTGTTCCTCAATTATTTGTGGCAAAGGAGCAAGCTTTGTCTTCTCATTTCCAGTAGCAGATTTGCTAATACGGTGAAATAAAGAGAATGCCATCTGGTTTCTTAGTCTTAATAATTCTATGGAGGAAAAAAGGTGGTTGTCTTTTAAAAATTAAGTGAAGTTTATTATACAATATACCTTTCCCACTGCATAAGTAAAACTTTCAGATTTAAAAACATTAAAAAAGTATAGAACTATATTCATATTTCCCACTACACTAGAATAACCACTGTTAACATTTTGGTATAATTTCTCCAATTTTTGTTCACTTGATAAATTCTTTCAACAATCATGTATCTCATATCTAGTACATATTGTGAAGTTGGTGTTTTATCAGCTGAGTGCTAAGGATATATACAGCTATCTAGAGTATGGGATAGGAAGTTTAAAATAGTTTTGTACAGTAAAATTTTAAAAGATTAATGTTTAACTATACTACATAGTTAAAGTTCTTTTTACAAATACCACAACTACAAATTACAACCAGTTTTTAGTCCTAATAAGTACAGTGAGCTACTGTCAGGTATAAATACAGGCACATCTTGTTTCACTGCACTTCACAGACATTGTGTTTTTTTACGAATTGAAAGTAAGACCCTCTACCAGCAAAAAGATTATGACTTGCATGATGTCTAGCCTTTTTAGTAATAAAGTATTTTTAAATTAAAGTATATATTACTTTATTAGACATAATGCTATTGCACACTTATTAGACTACAGGATAATGTAAACATAATCTTTATATGCACTAAGAAACCAAAAAATCTATGTGACTCGCTTTATTGCCAGATTCACTTTATTCCAGTGATCTGGAACCAAACCTGCAATACCTTTGAGGTATGCATGTACATATCACCAACAGCTGAAGAGAAAAACAAACAAACAAAATCCGGAGAAGTGAAACTGAGAGAAAACAGCTCAACCTCTTTTATCGAGATGGTTGGCAGGCACAGCGTACATCTGGCCGGTCTTCAGGTAGAGGAGCAGGCCTGCCTCTGGATCGGATCTTCTCTCCTGACTGAGCAGTGTATACAGAACCAGCTGTGAAAACAATGTACATTCTGTCAAATAAAACGTTAAATTTCTGCTTTTCCATACAAGTTTTGCAATCAATACATACTGTAATTTTAAAATCAAAGGTAAATTAAGCTATATCCATTTTGAAAATAACATGAGCCAAATTAGCAAAGGTAACACTATAAATCCAATGTCAAACATTTAATTTCCACAAAACAGTCTTTGCTTCTCAGTTTTAATATTTCAAATTTTTCTTAGTAAATATTTAGGTTTCCAATAAATTAAAGAGAGAAATGAAACTATGTTTTACATTTTGAAGTTAACAGTTTTTAGACAGTACTTTTCCTGTTAAAAATAAGTTAACTTTTCACTAAAATACAAATTATTTACGTCACAGTACTGTGACAGCTAAATCAGACTAACGCTATAAAGTTTACCATTTTTTTTCAGATCTGAAGCATCAGTAACTACAGTAGGTTTATGAGGTGCTCTTCAGAGAAACCATCTAAGACAAGCTACAAATAGCTCCTTTAGTCCATGAAAACACCTTAGCAGCAAGGCCAAGTCATTTGCTTAGTCACATACAGCCTAACAACAAGCTGATGCAATCTCCAATATTAAAGTATATGATTTATGAAAGCCCAGTCTCTAAATAATAAAATTCAAAAACACAAGATCAGTAATTACAATTAACATGCCTAAGGATAATGTCAAACTATGATTATATTCTGGTTTTCTGAACTATATTTAAAATATAATTAATTTATAGAAGGCCAAAAGTATTATTTGCAGCATAAATATTAATTATATACACAAATTCATCATTAAGGGCACAAGTTTACAAAAAACAAAAATAAATTTTGCTGATATTTTGTTTTTGCTACTACCAAAAATAGTGTTTGTGCAATTACTTAGCAAGTGTAATGGAAATATAGAAGAAATCTCAATATACAAATTTTGCAAAGAAAACACAATCCCAGATACCTCAATGTTCAAGGACATTTACAGAAATCCTTATGGTAACCTCAAATGTTTACAAAATAAAATGTAGAAACATTCCATCTCAGTAAATAATCACATGAAAGTTTGATATTTTAGCTTGATATCCTAAATTCATCTTTAAGCATAAGATTCTTAGGAATCTTCTTAGGCCATTCGTAAGAACAGCCTAATAGAATAGCCTAATAACTTAGGCTACTGCTTCAACATTTGAACCTATAAAGCATTTTTGGGGGAGGGCTTCTTATAAGCACCCTACTGCATTCCCTGATACATTATAAATACCAAATGAAACTTTTTAAAATTAAAGTAAACTCATAAATGACAGGGTCGAGACTTGGAGCTATGGACCTAGGGCACAGGTGGCAAACACCAGGCCCATGGGCTGAATCCAGACCTCCACCTTGTTTTATCCGGCCCGACACCTTGTTTCTACCCACCGGCAGTGCCAAGCTCTTGCTTAACTGTTAAAGAGTAGTTACATTTATACAGCCCTAAAATTACATTCTGCCCTTTGAAGGCAACCTTGAGGCTGACGTGGCCCCCAGTGAAAATGAGTTTGACACCTCTGACCTAAGGAGTCATCCAAAATCAACGGTCTCACCATGTGAGATTTTTCCCTCAATGGGAACTGAGGCAGGAGGAAGAAGTACATAAGACTCTGCTCCTGGGATTTACTAGTACAGGGAACTATCGGAAATAAAATTCCCTAAATATTAGGATAAAAGAAAGTTAGGTTGGAATTTTACATTACTATAATTCAACTGTATTACAAGTTAAATTAGTTTTTATGAGCTGCTTTAGGGATCACAGCTCCATATATTTTTCCTTTAAAAATGTATTTCAAATGATGAAATCACCAACTTAGAAATAAACTTCTGGAATATAATGCATTTATAAAATAAAGATCGGCTCTAATTGAAATTAGTTTATAACATAAGCTTTTTCTGTATTACCAAAGTGAAAATTTCAAATCTTCTAAGAGAAGAAATCTCTTTCCTCATCCCCATTATCTATATAACTCAATTAATTACTATAACTATTTTTAAATGTTTCCTCCTTTTTTTATACAATGAATATGTAATACAAACTCCAATATTTTTGTATGATCCTGGCTCTACTCAAATATTTTAATATAAGAAATATTCTTTTTTATACTACTTTATTCTTTTTTTAGATGTTTATTTATTTATTTTTAGAGAGAAGGGAAGGGAGGGAGAAAGGGAGAGAAACATTGATATGTGAGAGAAACACTGATCAGTTGCCTCTCCTACGCCCTCAGCTGGGGACCTGACCCACAACCCACGCATGTGGCCTGACTGGGAATTGAATTGGCGACCTTTTGATTTACAGACCAGTACTCAATCCACTGAGCCACACCAGCCAGGGTACTATTTTATTCTTAAAAGTTCTTCTTGCAGCTTCTCTACTTGCAAAGATAAAATTCCAACTAAGTAAAGTCAAACACAGTAATGTTCTTTGCTTGAAGGTACTACAAATTAGAGCAGCAATTTTGGAAGAAGGGTTCTTTCTTTTATATTTGAAACTCCTTTATATTTCTCTTCCTTTTAGCAGTCAAGTGATTTCAATCAAACTTGTCCTTAAAAAAAAAAAAAGTTAAAAATGTGTGGTCTCATGTATACAAAACACATTTTTTTCAAATTTTTGGCATGATTTTCCTTTCCTAAGAGGGCTTTAAGTTAGCCAAGTCTTTAGTTCATAATTTCATCCATTTCTGTACTATCAAAGTAAAAAATTCCTGTCTATTAAAAACAGAAAACCTATTTTTTCTCCACTACCTCCAATATCTGTAAAATCGACTAATAGTTGAAAAACAATAAGATTACCTTACTTTTCCATTCCCAAATGAAAAAGCTTTTGTGAGACCTTTTGATGTTTGGTATACAATTAAAAATGGCAGGAAAGATTTAATGACAGGAAGTCCTTTTAAAGTTAACAGTATGGTGGTTACCAGGGAGGGAAGTGGGATGAGGGGAGGAGGAAGAGGGTAAAGGGAGTCAAATACATGGTGATGAAGGGAGACTGGACTTTGGGTGAGTACTCAGTGCAATATGCAGATGATGTATTACAGACCTGTATATCTGAAACTCATATAATGTTATTAACCAATGTTACTCCCATAAACTGAATTTAAATAAAAAAAAGAAAGCTCAACAAATAAAAAATTAAAAAAAAAAGAAAGCTCACCCCCTGACCAGTGTGACTCAGTTTACTGGATGTCCCACAAAGCAAAAGGTTACTGGTTCAATTCCTTTTCAGGGCACATGCCTAGGTTGCTGGTTTGGTCCCCAGTCGAGGGGTGCATGAGAGGCAACCAATCAACGTTTCTCCCTCACACTGATGTTTCTTTCCTTCTTTCTTCCTCCCTTCCCTTCTCTCTAAAAAGTAATTATTTTTTAAAAAAGAGAGGAAGCCTCTCTGCCTCTTTAATCCCTGATTACACAATTATTTTGAATCTGAACTTTATTTTATATGAAATCTGCTGAAATAAGTGAAATTCCAAAGGTAAAAGGAATTTTAAGTAATATTACAAAATGTTGTCGTTATTCCCTTAATACATATTATAACATAAAATATAATATTACTCTTTTAGTTTCATCTTTGCCTATTTAAAAGTGCCTAGGACAAACTACAAATTGCCAATGTGGAGATGGGCAGAGGGAATGGAAATAATTAGAAAACAAAACAGAACTTTATGTTAATTACTTTGTCATTATAATCAATATAAATTTCAGAAAATGTTGAAGGACAATGGAAGATTGTTATGTATACTAAAGAGAAGAAAAGAAGATTTTAAAAACTTTAATTTAACATAATAGTAAAATATAGTTCTATATTTCATTTCAAATAAAAATCAATATAGTCAAATTAATGGTAGGGAATAATGAATTTACAATGATGTTTCCTAAAGATTGTCCTGTGTAGATGTTACCTGAAAACAATAGCTACATGGTGAGTTGGGTTTAGTAAACATTGGGTTAAACATTGCTAAAACAAATATTACTTTAAGACTTCTGAGAAACTTTAATAAGCTAATGCACATCATTGTATCTACAAATATACTTGGTTTCCCCAGCTTACATGATCAAGGAATTCTTTTTTTTTTTAAAGTATCTGTTTAGACTGATAGTTCAGCAACATAAAGTTGGCAGTACTGTCTCACAAGTTCACCTGTTATAATCTTTGCCGAGGATCCACTGTAGCTATACATACATTTATAAAACAATGTGAGTATTCTGGATGTATCACAAATTAAAAACTACTACATGAAACTTAAACATTACCTGAATTGAACCAAAATATATAAAGCAAACTACATTTTTAAATCTATTAAACTTTCAATTTTATTAAGATTTATATACCTGACTACGGTGTTCAATAGAATTTGATTCTTTGCCAGTTTTGAGTTCCAATGGCATTATTATATCTTTCACTTTACATCCTCGATGTATTTTCACACCAACTGTAACATCTATTTTGCCCTTTAACCCAAACCTAGGGGACCAAATGCTTTCTTCAATATCCAGTGATTTTATGACTTCAATATTACATGTTGTGTTATTGTTACTACCATCACTTGGCCTAAAAAACAAAACACAGAAACAATTAGAACACTTAGCTAACTTCTCATCCACTACTAATGACTTTCCATTGCACACAGAGAATGTGGGGATGGAAAAGAGTCTATGTACCATCACAGCAGTGATTCTCCAAGTGTGCATCATAAAAATCAAGCTTTAAAAGGTGTAAGAATTCTGGCTGTTACATGATCTAGCTGACATGGTTTTATGTTGTTTAAGTCAGTTATTTCTTAACAAATAAGAATATTTTCTAAGAAAAGAGAATGCTATCTTCAGTCATTTTTTTTAAACTATTTCAGGAAACTTCAAATAAAATCTCTAGGCATATACTTCTGCAGTCTTTCAAAGAGATAACAGAGGAATTCAGGGAAGCCACAACTTACCTACAATTTCTTAAATATTTATGTTTTCTCTTACCAAATGTTATCTGATCTTGGTATGTATTCAAATATGCTGATGTAAAATAAAGCAAATTTTATTATTTATAAAATGTCACATGTATACTTAATAGAATAGAGGTAATAAAACTTTTAACATTACTTTTTCTAAAAGTAATGTGATTTTACACCTAGATCTGTGACAGTATTTCAATTTAACTACTTTGATTTTAATCAACAAAATTCTGTAAAACTCTTTTAAAAACTACCTGATAGAGAATAAATACAGTGTCATGAAAATATATATTTACTACTTACATGTGAGAAACACTGTCTCTATAAATGGCTTTTAAAGTTCTCATTCAGTACTTTGCAGTCTAAAGGTTATTTTTTTAATTTTTTAATTGATTTTGGAGCGAGAGAAAGAGAAAGAGACAGAAACATCAATTTGTTGTTCCGCTTATTTATGCATTTATTGGTTGATGCCTGTACATGCCCTGACTGGGTATCAAACCTGCAACCTTGCCATATTGGAATGACACTCTAACCAACTGAGCAACCCAGCCAGGCCTAAAGTTAATTTAAAATAAACAGCCATAAACTGCCGGGAAAATGTCCAGAGTGTGCTCTTCAGAAATACACCTAAGCTTGCATCACAAATAACTGAAACAAAGAAAAGTGTTACACCCAGACACAGAGATGAGAAAGAACACTGAGCTGGGAATGAAGAGATTCCTTATGCTAGACTCATCTCCACCAGTGTTTTACTTTTCTTTTTCTTTTTCTTTTTTAAGATTTTATTTATTTATTTTTAGAGAGAGAGGAAGGGAGAAAGAGAAGGAGAGAAACATCAATATGTGGTTGCCTCTCCTGCACCCCATACTGGAGACCTGGCCTGCAACCCAGGCATGTGCCCTGACTGGGAATCGAACCAGTGATCCTTTGGTTCACAGGCTGGCACTCAGTCCACTGAACCACACCATCCAGGGCTCCACCAGTGGTTTTCATATGAAACCTAGACAAGTCACACCACTCCCTAGACCTCAATTTCCCTATTTGAAATCTAGAACTTAGTCTCAAAATTCCCTTTCAAGTCAAAGATTTTTCTGAATCAATCCCACACTTCCTCTGGCTTCTACAATACACTTCTTCCACACTACAATCCCTTGCTAGTCCACCCTAAGCCTCCTTTGATGGATTCTACTCTCTCCCTGCGTTATCTCCCAAGGTTTTGGACCTCTTCTGTTGCCCTTTGTGTCCCTCTCAGTAGTCCCTTCCACTCTTGGTTTTCAACTACTACTAATACACTGAGTTCTTGGAGAGCTTTAGTATCCATGTAACACCAATACCTAGAGAAATCCTGGGCACAGATGTAGCATGTAATACATGTCTGCTGAATATATGAGTCTAAGAGAAAATGAGTTTTCACTACAAAAACAACAAGTAAATATTAAGCCCCCAAAATGCACACACAATGCTAAAACAATTGACAGTGAAAGAAAACCTAATATCTAAAACAACCATGAAAATGAATATCCACCACAATTTAAAATCTCAAGAAAATGTAAATAACTCCAAAGAAATAAGAAAAGAAGGAGCCCTGGCTAGTGTGGATCAGTGGACTGAGCACCAGCCTATGAACCAAAGAGTCACCAGTTCCATTTCCAGTCAGGGCACTTGCCTGGGTTGCGGGCCGAGGGGCAACCCATTGATATTTCTCTCACACATTGATGTTTCTCTACTTCTCTTCCTTTTTCCCTTGTACTCTCTCTAAAAATAAATAAATAAATTCTTTTAAAAAAATAAGAAAAGAAGGAAAGAAAGGGAAGGAGGTAAAGAAGATAAATAAGGATAAAGAAATAATCAGGAACAACAGATAACAAAATTAAGTTTGTCATTTTAAATAGAGACCAGAATAGCAGAAATACTACAAAACAAAAACCAGGAAAAACACTAACTAATGAACACTTACAATTTATCACAGTGAACTAATGCAACAAGATCCACCCCCTCTGCCAGATACAGCAATCTGTGCTCCAAAAAAAATAACAACAATGATAACAAAGAACAAAGCATTATGAATTTATAAAAAATAATACAAGAAAAATTAAACAACCTATTTACTTTTTTTAAAAGATATGGAGCTGGTGGTAAATTTAAGGTCACTAGAGAAATAAACAATATGAGAAATAAACTTCATTCTAACTTCATGTCTTTTTTTTTAACTTCTATATATATTTTTTTTAAACACCAAAGTGGTTGCCTCTTGCACACTCCCTACTGGGGGCCTGGCCCACAACCTAGGCATATGTCCTGACTGGGAATCAAACCAGTGACTCTTTGGTTCGCAGGCCTGCACTCAATCCATTGAGCTACACCAGCCAGGGCTAAATATTTTTTAAATACATACATGAGTCCTGTTGGCAAACTGATGGTGGTGATGGTTGCACAATTCAATGAATATACTGGAAGTCACTGAATTGTACATAATAGAAAAAATAATAGTTAAAACCCTACTGGCAGATATGGGACATTTAAACATTGCTAGCAACCTTCTAAAATGATTTGAAAATTGTCGAAGAATTCCAGCAATAAGTAAGAGGTAAAATTCCCCAAAATCTTTGATGAGGCAGAACCTCCAGCTCTGAGGTTTTAACACAAGGAAATAACTGTCCCCATACCCACCCTCTAACTAGTATATGTACATTCCTTCTTCTCTACTCAAGGACAAAGTTCTAAGAAATCTCCCATCTCTTCTAAGTATTAATTGTGTCCTCTATGGAAATCTTCCCAGTGACATATAAATAAGTTACAGCTCCTCAAAACAACAAAGCTCTCTTCCCTGCCACATAAGCCTTTGGCAACCATTCCATTTCTCCATATCCTTTCAGAGACAAACTGCTAAGTATAGTTGTCTACACACCTTGTCCCCAAATCCTCTTCTACCATTCTTTCTTTTTTTTTCAAAGGTTTTTAAAAATTTATTTTTAGAGAGGGGGAGGGAGGGAGAAAGAGAGGGAGAGAAACATCAATGTGTGGTTGCCTCTCGAATACCCCCTACTGGAGACCTGGTCCACAACTCAGGAATGTGCCCTGACTGGGAAGCAAATTGACAACCCTTTGGTTTGCAGGCCGGAGTTCAATTCACTGAACCACACCAGCCAGGGCTACCATTCTTTTTTGACCCCATGCTAATCACATTTTCAGCCCAGAATCACCACCTACTTTTCTTTCCCTCACATCCACATCTAATCCAAAAATCTATCAACTCTAACCTTTAAAATCTGACCAAAATCCAACCGATTCTCATCACTTCTGCAACTCTCACTCTGGTCTAAGCCACCACCATCTCTTGTTTGAATTCTTGCAAGGATGTCCAACTTGGTCTACTTCTGCCTTTATCCTACAAAATAGCCTCAAATGGGCAGCCAGACTGATTCTTTTAAAAGTAAATCAGAATGCAATAATTAGCACAGAGAAGTTGCCTAAAGTTACATGGCTAAATTGTGGCAAAACTAGAATTCACATTCAGGCTCAGTATGTCCTTCAACGCACAGAGAACATTAACAAATTGGTCCAAAAAACTGACTGTTACCAAGATTTCTGATCCACAAATCTTAAGTTATTTAGATCATAAAATATCATAAAACATTGAGACTATCGATAGAAAAATATTGATGTAAGTAAAAGATGTGACTATTTAAAGAAAAATAAAATGTCGCCTGTTTAAAAAAGTTATCAGATCAAAACCCTCTGTGCAAACTGGCTCAGTGGCTTATGCAATGACCTGCAAACCAAGAGGTCCCTGCCTCAACTCCCGGTGAAGGCACATGCCTGGGTTGCAGGCCAGGTCCCTGGACGGGAGTGTGTGAGAGGCAACTGATCAATGTTTCTCTTGCACATCAATGTTTCTCTCCCTCACTTTCTCCTTCCCTTCCCCCTTTCTAAAAAATAAAATCTTAAAAAACAAAGAGAAAAGCTCTGTGCAAATGCTCCTGTGGCTTCCCATGTAACCAGAGCCAAAGTCCTGACAAGGATGGAGGACCCTGGAAAGTCACTTCTGCTCTCTCCAGCCTCTCTCTGTTCCAGTCACACTGACTGAGGTGAGTGAGCCACGAGGCACTGCCAGAAATGCTCTTCCTGGAGATAGCTGCACAGCTCCTGTATTTCTTTCAGGCTTTGTCTCAGTGTCTCATTACAGACAACTTCCATGATCATAACATGGAAATGACATGTCCTAGTGACTCTTTTCCTCCTTCCCCTCCCCACTGCTCTGCACTGCCTTTACCACAGTCTGGCACACTGTGGTTTCCTCGTTCAACAGTATAGAAGCCCCACGAAGCCGATGCCTTTTTTTACTGCTACTATACTCGCAGCACCTAGAACGTTACTAGGTACACATCAGGCACTCAATAAATATTTACTGAATGGCTGAGTAATTAAAAAGTAAAAAACATATTACCTATAAACCTACTAATTTATATCAATGCTACCTTAAGGGGAAAAACTAAAAAACAAATAAAATGCCAAAAAACATTAAATGGCTAAACATAGCATTTAACTATACAGCACAAATCCATGACAATCAATATGTGACACAGTCCATATGTGATAGTAACACAGAGAAATATACATAAAATTAGGATCCCCCCAAAATGTAATGATTATTTTATTAAAAAAAATAACCACATACAAAAAGTAGACATTTTTATAATGAAAATGTCTACTTTTCAATATGTATGTCTACTTTTGGCAATATGTATCAAAATTTTATTTTTAAAAAGATTTTATTTATTTATTTATTTCTATAGAGAGGGGAAGAAACAGAGAAAAAGAAGGAGAGAATGGAATTTTCATTATAAAAATGGGCAGATTTATATCAGGACTGTAATTTATAAAATAAGCAAACAGCCCTGCTTGGTGTGGTTCAGTGGGTTGGATGTTGTTGACCTGTGAACTGAAGGGTCACCAGTTCAGTTCCTGGTTAGGGCCCATGCCTGGGATGTGGGCCAGGTCCCTGGTTGGGGGGCTGTGACAGACAACCAATCAATGTTTCTCTCCCTCTTTCTCTCTCCCATCCCCTCTCTCTAAAAATTAAATAAAATCTTTAAAAAATAAAATAAAATAAGCAAACAAAAAGACTAGCTGTAATAACTCAATCTTTAAAAGGCTTTAATTCAAAATACAGAACAGAATCCTGTTCTAAACATATAAACACCATATAAACAAAATGGGTTTCTTACAAAGAGAGCTGCATCTGTGGGAAGCCAGTTGAATTACAGTTATGCATGAAATCTCCAGCCCACTTAGAAAATGAAGGAAGATACTCTTCTACTTCTTGTTTTAATTCATCTTGATTCAAATTTAAGCGATACCTGTAAAGTAAGAGATTAAATGTAAACGTTTAAATATAAAAACAGTAAATAAGGACAAAAACACCTATACATGCAACCCAAGTACCTGTGACCAAGTAATAAACAAAATGTGGTATATATGAACAATGGATTATTATTCAGCCTTAAAAAAGAAGAGAGCAAAGCCTTATCAGTCCTCTGAAAGGGCTGGTTCAGCAAGGAAGACAAAGTTAGTAACCCAGCTTTGCCAAGACTGTTTCTCCTGAGCATAACAGCAACCTCAAGCTGATGGAGAACGTGAAATTCCTCAAGCCAGGGAGCAACTGCTGACACTAAAGTGTCCTGAACAATCACACATTCAGTCTAACAGAGGGAAAGGTTATCCTTGCAAAAAACTGTTTGAAATCTGGCAACTTCCAGTAGATAACCGAAGATGTAGGTGAGAATGTGGGGAAACAGAACTCAGGTATTGCTGGCAGAAATATAAATGGGGACAATGCTTGCAGAGACATATTTGGCAATATGTATCAAAATTTTATTCATTTTTTAAAAGATTTTCTTTCTTTCTTTCTTTATTTATTTATTTCTATAGAGAGGGGAAGGTACAGAGAAAAAGAAGGAGAGAATCGTCAATGTGTGGTTGCCTTTAGCACACCCCCAACTGGGGATGTGGCCTGCAACCCAGGCATGTGCCAGGGATGGGAATCAAACCAGTGACCTTTTGGTTCGCAGGCCAGCACTCAATCCACTGAGCCACACCAGCAAGGGCAATACGTATCAAAATTTTAAATGTACCCAGCCTGGAACCTGTCCTGGAGAGGGCAAGATGCTATAAAGGACATTACTGGGCAAAACTAGAATGTGGACAGATCAGACAAAAGTATTCCATCAATATTAAATTTCCTAAACTTGCTAACTGCACTGTGGTTACCTAAAAAAACCCCCTTATTCTTAGGAAATACACATTTAACTATATATCATGGTTTTCTACCTGAGGGACACGAGCCCTGAGCCTACTTTGCTCAGCATCAGCAAGAACATGTCATGAGCAAAGTCCTTGGCCAGCAGCAGGCACTACGGCCCCACACCCAGCTGTTACCACATGCCTGGCCCAGTCACCAGTGTTGTGGAGAGAAGAGGCCTGAAGGAAGTGAACAAGGCCACCTTGCCTACTGCTGTGGGTATTCTTGAACCTACAGGACAACCCAGGATGTGTAGGGCCCTCTTTGGCCTGCTCTGTGGTTGGTATCCTCATGGTTTACAGATCATTGTGTATTCCATGATTAATACTACTTAATCTTAGAAAAAAAGTTTGGCCCTGGGTAGTGTAGCTCAGTGGATTGAGCAACAGCCTGTGAAATGAAAGGCTGCCAAGAAAGGTAGGGGAAGAGAGGGAAAATGAGAGGGAGAGAATCACTGATACAAGAGAGGAACATTGATAAGTTGCCTCTTGAATGCACCCCAAGCAGGATGGAACTCACAACCCAGGGATGTGCTCCAACCAGGAATAGAACCCGTGACATTTCAGTTTGGAGGACAATGCCCAACCAACTGAACCACACTGGCCATGGCAATAAATAAAATCTTTTAAAACACACACACAGCCCTGGCCAGGGTGACTCAGTGGATTGAGCATCGGCCTGCAAACTAAAGGGTCACCAGTTCTATTCCCAGTCAGGGCACATGCCTGGGTTGCAGAGCAGGTCCCCAGTAGGGAGCACACAAGAGGTAACTACACACTGAGGTTTCTCTCCCTCTCTTTTTCCCTCCCTTTACCTCTGTCTAAAAATAAATAAATAAAAACATTTAAAACACACACAAAATAGGTGAGTATGAATGAAGAATATATGGATGTTCTGTGTACTACTCATGTAACTTTTCATTAAATTTAAAATTATTTCCAAGTTAAAATACTTTTAAATGTTTAAATGCATATATCTTCTAGCCCAACCATTCCACTTCTATGTATTGAGCCCACATATATGCCTGCATAGGTATGAACTAAAGGATGTACAATAGTATTTATCATAGCATTGCTAATAAAAGCAAAAATTGAAATGCCACAGATACATAAAAAGTGATCTAGCTATACAATGATACATTATGCAACTATTAATTAAAAATGAGATAGCTCAATAAGTACTGAGATGGAATGATCACCAAGATTTAATTTTTAAATGCACAATAATGTGCATGGTATGCTACCATCTCCATAACAAAATATAAATGTAAATACGCACACACACAACACACTATCACATATAAATGTTTGAAATCTCTGGAAGGACATAAGAAAACAACAGTTGTTTCCACTGGGGAGAGGAACTGTGTGATGAGGAAAATAAGGGTAGAAAGAACTTTTTACTGTTTACTCCCTTCCACTATTACAATAACATATCGTATACATGAATTTATATCCTATTTAGAAACAGTGTTTTCATTTTTTTTTAAATCCTGCACAACTGATTAGTCATTTTTCCTAAATAATTTTCTCCAACCATCCCAAGAGCATTCTTCATTGTCGTGAACTCCTTAGGCAGATCTTCCCAGTGTCTTATTTTCTACAGATCAGGACTCTTTTTAAAGTTTCCATACCAGTCTACACTGGTTACTTAACGTCTCCTGCATTTAAATTCTCCCTTTTTAATTTGTGAAGTCACAGAAAAATGACATGTAACAGCCTGGTCTCTCCTGAGATTAGTAAAATGCTTAAGGTGGTACCTTCAGGCCTTGACTCTTACAGATATAATGGCAGTGTACAACATGAATAGATAAAATATGTTCTGTGAACTATAATAAGGGAGACGGGCCTATGAGAGAAGGCAGAAAAGAACTTTGGACCTATTTTGGGATCTGGGAATTTAAAAAGTATTCTTTTGAACAGGATTAGCACTACTGTAGTAGATGCATGACATTCACAAGAGAATTCATATTGTCATAATTATGAAATGAAACACAAGCTTTCCCTTAATGACTTAGGATATCGTGATTTAAAAAAACAATAATATAATCCAGTAGCTCAAGGATCTGCTACAATGCATTCCCTCAAATTTCTGACCTTCAAGGTTCCTCTCTCCCACATCTTGGAAACCAGGTAAGACTGTTAGATATTAGTGAAAACTAACATGTGCTAAGAGGGTATCAGAGAGACATTCCATTACATAAAGTACATGACGGTTTTTTTAACACATAAACAACAGAAATTCTAAGCAAGGCTGTTCAGAAACCTTGATTTCTTTCATTCTGGTATTCAAGTTAGGTTATAGATAAATCAGATTGCCTGATACCTAAACACCTGAGGTGTTTTAAAATATGTCCACAAATTCATTGATACTCCCTTCAAAAGACAGCACACAACCCCCCCACCCTTAAGGGAGAGCTGGACTCAGTGACTTGCACCTAATAAACTAAAAAAGCAGAAGCAACAGTGCAGGAATTCAAAGACTAGGATATAAAAGGCACTATGCTTCCTGCTTGCTCTCTTTCTTGGATACTTCATTCAGGAAGCCACTGCTATGGCATTAGGCCACATCATGCAGCCTTATGAAGAGGCCACGTGGGGAGGAACTGAGACCTCCTGCCAGCAGCCAGTGAGGTATGGAGGCCTCAGCAAAAGAAACACATGGAAGCAGATCCTCCTGCACTGATCAAGCCTTCAGATGACTGCAGCCCCACATGGGAGACTGAGCCAGAACCAGCCAGCTAAACCACCTACAAATTCCTGACCTACAAACACTATGAGATGACAGATTAGACGCTTATCATTTAAGCCAGAGGTTTTATTTATTTTTAGAAAGAGGGAAAGGAAAGGAGAAAGAGAGGAAGAGAAACATCATGTGTGGTTGCCTCTCACGTGGCCCCCACTAGGGACCTGGTCTGCAACCCAGGCATGTGCCCTGACTGGAAATCAAACAGGCAACCCTTTGGTTTGCAGCCCACACTCAATCCATTGAGCTACACCAGCCAGGGCTGTTGTTGTTTTTTTTTGTTTTTTGTTTTTTGGGTTTTTTTAGAGAGAGAGTAGGAGGAAGGGACAGAAATACTGATGTTGAAAGAGAAACATTTATCGGTTGCCTCTTCTATGCACCCCGACCAGGGAACCTACAACCTATGTATGTGTCCTGACCGGGAATTGAACTGGTGGCCCCTTTGCTTTGTGGAATAATGCCTATCCAGCTGAGCCACACCGGCCAGGGCTAAGCCACTAAATTTTGATGTGATTGGTTTCAGGGCAATAATCAATAAAATACACAACACATAAGGTATCACCTTTGCTGAATAGGGTGCAAAAAAAAATTAAAATTTTGTAAAGAAAAAAAATTAGAAAGTGGTAAATAAGGTGATAAGCAGAACTCTTAAAGCAAAATTTTATCTATTTTTATATATTCTGAATGCTGTGCATGCTATATGGCCATGAACAAGTGACAACTTCTCTGTGCTTCAGTTTCTTCATTTTTAACAAGTTGATATGAGACTATGTAAAATATGGCTAAAAGCACTTAGTGTCTGACATATGGCAGGAATTTAAAATGTTTTCAGGACACTAGATTATGGACACATGTCATTAGCAAATCAGTCATGTGAAATTTTGAAACACATTTTTTCCCATATAAACAGTTAAACATGGAATTACATCTGGGAAAGTAGACAGATGTCAAAATGAAAATTGCCACTAATAAAAACATCTCTGTGAGAGAAGATGAACTGCAATAGGAGTCAAGGATGAAACAGACAGCAGAACATGGCAAACCCTCTGCAGGAAGGCAGTCACTCATAAAACACCAATGATTAAGCATCTGTGGGCACATATACATTATTTCTATTGTCACAAAATGCTCAATAGGTACTATTACCTTCTTTGGAATCTTTAAATAACTTCTTCAGTCATTAAACTGGCAAAGCTAGAATTTCAAATGTGATCTGACTCCCAAACCCAAACAATTTTCAATAGGTCACACTTTCTAAAGGCAAGGCAAAAGGTTTTCGCATTCTCTGAGAGTCTGCCGTGCACAGGCACAGAAAATTTAGCTACTTTCAGCCAAAGAGTTCCTATTGTGCAATTTTAGAAGCTCTTCACAGAAATACAATAGGGTACTTCAACTCCAGAATCTACATTCTAATATTATACTAATTTATAATGAATAGTCTAATAGCCAAATACTTTATAAATTCTACAAGTTATAAAATAAAATTGTATCTGTAGTTCTCTCATAACTACTTACATTTCCTTCAGATGCCTTATCTCTTGAACAGTTTGAAAAGCAAGTTCTTGTAGCTTTTCTGGGGCAAAGCTATCACTTATTGCTTTCTGAAATACTTCATGGAGAACTGTACCAATCAGCATTTGGCGCGAGGCTGGATCAGGGCTCTATCCAAAAAAAGTATATTTTACAACATATTAAGAGACATGAACGTATACTTATTACCTAACCTATTAAATTACTATAGCCCAAGTACACTGGTAAGACAAATGCCAAAACATCAACCAATTTTTTTTCCTGGTGGGTGGAATTATAAGAGACTCTCACTTTCTCCAATTCAGAATGACCTGAATTATTTTATAAGTATTATGTTTTATTTTAAATCTTATATTTCCAATTTTTAAAAAATTAACTAATAGGAAAAAGTTCAACATATTCTCAAATATTTAATACATTCATTTCCAATTTCACTTTATAATTTACCCAAGGAAAAGGTCAATAAAAGCATAGCTCATAAACTCATGCAAATAAGATATTATCGAAACATAAAATTTAGGTGATTACCCAAGGCTCCACCCCATCCAACTTAAGGGGACCACCCAAGCAGTTAACAGTGGTTTTTCTACATTAGGCCACGCTACTAAGACAGGGAGTAAAAGCAGCTCTACTTAATACCTAGAAACAAACACAAGGAGGCTGTCAAAAGGAGGACACAAAGAAATATGGCCCAAATGAGAGAACAGAACAAAACCGCAGAAAAAGAACTAAACAAAATGGAGATAAGCAATCTATCAGATGCAGAGTTCAAAACATCGCTTAAAAGGATGTTCAAAAAACTTAGTGGGCATTTCAACAGCATAAAATGACCCAATCAGAAATGAAGGTTACAAGAGTTCTGGCCAAGCTAGGGCGCAGGCAGAAATACTCCACTTCCTCGCACAACCAAAAAAATAACAATCAATTAAAAAAAAAAAACAAAACAAACAGAACTGCCAGAAAATCAAACTGTAGGGAAGTCTGACGACCAAGGAGTTAAAGAAACATTCATCCCATCTGGTGGGAGGAGCACAGGCAGGCAGCTGGGCAGACAGGACAGACAAGAAGCACCGCAATGTGGCAGACCACACAGGAAAGGCTGGTTCTGGCTGACCAAGAAACTAAAGACCCAAACCCTCTGGCTGTAAAATTCTGTGGGTGTAGTGAGGACAGGAGAGACTCCCAGCCACACAGAATAGTCTATTGGAGAGGCCCATCAGATCCTAGAACATACGAAACTTGCCTACCTGGGAATCAGCACCTGAAAGGGCACAACCCACTTGCGAGAAAACAAGGAAGGGATGGGAAGTGGGGTGAGAGCCAAGCAAGCGAGCTAGTTGCACTGTTCCCTTTCTGGACCCTCCCCCACAGACGGTGCCACAACACAGTAGAGGGCTGCCCTGCCCTGGTGAATACCAAAAGCTCTGCCCCTTACAACACAGCAGGTGCACCAAGACAAAGAAATATACTCCAAATGAAAGAACAGATCAAAACTCCAGAAAAAGAACTAAGTGACAAGGAGATAAACAACCTGTCACACGAAGGCTTCAAAACACTCGCAATCAGGATGCTTACAGAATTGATGGAGCTTGGTCACAAAATGAAGGAAGAAATGAAGGCTATACAAAGTGAAATAAAGGAAAATACAGGGAACCAACAGTGAAGGGAAGGAAACCGGGAATCAAATCAACAATTTGGAATAAAAGGAAGAAATAACATCTAACTGGAACAGAACAAAGAAACAAGAATTCAAAAAACTGAGCAGAGGCTGAGGAATCTCTGGGACAACTTTAAACATTCCAACATCTGAATTATAGGGGTGCCAGAAGGAGAAGAGGAGGAGGAAGAAATGGAAAACTTATCTGAACAAATAATGAAGGAGAACTTCCCCAATCTGGTGAAGGAAATAGACTTCTAGGAAGTCCAGGAAGCCCAGAGAGTCCAAAGAAATTGGATCCAACAAGAAATACACCAAGGCACATCAGAATTATGTTACCCAAGATTAAAGATAAGGAGAGACTCTTAAAAGCAGCAATGAGAAAAGGAGATAGTTACCTATAAAGAAGTTCGTTCCCATAAGACTATCAACAGATTTTTCAAAAGAAGCCTTGCAAGCAAGAAGGGGCTGGAAAGAAGTATTTGAAGTCATGAAAGGCAAAGACCTACATCCAAGATTGTTCTATCCAGCAAACTATCATTTAGAATAGAAGGGCAGATAATGTGCTTCCAAGATAAGGTAAAGCTAAAGGAGTTCATCATCACCAAGTTCTTATTATATGAAATGTTAAAGGGACTTATCTAAGAAATAGAAGATCAAAAACTAGGAACAGTAAAATGACAACAAACACAACTACCAACAACTGAACCTAAAAAACAAACAAAAAAAACTAGGCAAACAACTAAAACAGGAACAGAATCACAAAAATGGAGATCACATGGAGGGTTATCAGTGGGGAGAATGAGAGGGAGAATGGGGGAAAAGGTACAGGGAATAAGAAGCATGACTGGTAGATACAAAATAGACAGGGGGAGGTTAAGAATAGTGTAAAAAATGGACTAGCTGAAGAACTTACATGTATGACCCATGGACATGAACTAAGGGGATCAGAATGCTGGAGGGTGGTGGGAAGAGGGATATAAAGGGGAGAAAAAATTGGGAAAACTGTGACAGTATAACCATTAAAATTAAAAAAAAGAAATGAAGGCTATACTACCTGAATAAAATAAAAATGTACAGGGACTTAACAGCCAAGTAGATGAAGCCAAGTGTCAAATCAATGATTTGGAACATAAGAAAAAAATAAATAAACAGCCAATCAGAACAGCAAGAAGAAAAAAGAATAAAAAGAAAAACCAAAAAACAAATCCCCCCGAGGACAGGGTATGGACTCTCTAGGACAATTTCAAACGTACCAACATTCACATCATAGGGGTGCCAGAAGAAGAGAGCAAGAAATTAAAAATTCGTTTGAAAAAAATAATGAAAGTAACCTTTCCTAATTTGATGAAGGAAATAGACATACAAGTCCACAAACCACAGAGTCCCAACAAGATGGACGCAAAGATGACCACAGCAAGACACATATCACACTTAAAACACCAAAGATTAAAGATAAAGAAAGAACCTTAAAAGCAGCAAGAGAGAAGCAGAGTTACCTACAAAGGAGTTCCCATAATAATGTCAGCTGATTTCTCAAAAGGAATTTTGCAAGCAAGAAGTATTCAAAGTTGCAAGGACCCATAACCTAGTACTATATTGAGCAAAGCTGTCATTTAGAATGGAAGGGCAGATAAAGTGCTTCCCAGACAAGGTCAATCTAAAGTTCATCATCACCAAGCCATTATTATGTGAAATGTTAAAAGGACTTATTTTTAAAAAGATCAAAACTATGAACACTAAAATGGCAATTTACAACTATCAAACAACTGAATCTAAAAAACAAGCTAAGCAAACAAGCAGAACAGAAACAGAATCAAAGATATGGGGTCATTTGGATGGTTACCAGTTGCGAAGGGAAAAGGAAAGAATGGGGGGAGAGGTGTAGGGATTAAGAAGTACAAATTGGTAGTAAAAGAATAGTCAGGGGGGTGTTAAGAACAGTATAGGAAATGGAGAGGCCAAAGAACTTAATTGCATGACCCATGAACATCAACTAAGGAAGGGAGTGCCAGAGGGAATGAGGGATGCTGGGTGAAAGGAGGCAAAGGGGGAAAAACTGGGACAACTGTAACAGCAGTTGTCAATAAATATAAATAATCAATAAAATATTATAAAGTTTGTAAAAAGCTTACAAAAAAACCCATAAAATTTAAACTTAGATTTTTTAGCAAAAGTTCTCTCCACTCAAAACGAATCAGTATTATTCAATTAACTTATTAACCTAGGCCTCTACCTTGAAGCTAACAAAACACTAAAGTCCATCATCAATAATTTTTAAAACTTTACAGGGGAACTCTCTGTACTATTTTTGCAAATTCTATATGAGTTTGAAATTATTTCAAAATAAAAATTTTTAATAGATTAATATTTAGGTCCACTTTATAACGTGATTAAGATAAGTTGGTATTCTCCCACAACTGAAGGAAAAAAAAGTGGATAAGATAAACAATAAGTAACAACTAACGCTTAGAAAATCTATAAAGGTATTTTTCTTCTTTTTTTCTTCTTACTCAGCTATAACTTTGGTTTTCTATATACATATAGATTAATTGTATAATGAAAACAATACTCTAGATGAAGGAAACTTTTAACAAATAAAAGCCCAGGTTCAGCCCTGGCTGGCGTAGCTCAGTGGATTGAGCGCGGGCTTCGAACCAAAGTGTCACAGGTTCGATTCCCAGTCAGGGTACATTCCTGGGTTGCAGGCCATAACCCCCAGCAACCGCACATTGATGTTTCTCTCTCTCTCTCTCTCTCTCCCTCCCTTCCCTCTCTAAAAAAAAATAAGTGAAATCTTAAAAAAAAAAAGATACATTATAAAAAAAAAAATAGCCCAGGTTCTTCAACAAATAAATGGCATTGAGCCCTGGCTGGCATGGGTTAATGTATAGAGTGCCAGCCTGTGAACCAGGGGGTCACTGGTTCAATTCCCAGTCAGAGTACATGCCTGGGTTGCAGGCCAGATCCCCAGTTGGAGGCATACAAGAGACAACCACACATTGATGTTTCTCTCCCTCTCTTTCTCCTTCTCTTCCTCTCTTTCTAAAAATAAATAAATAAAACAAAATAAAATCTTAAAAAATAAACAAATAAATAAATGGCATTGAAACAAAGGGCGTAAGTGGAAGGCAGACAAATACATATCAAAAGATACTTAATAGGCCTATCAATAAACATAGTACAAAGACCTTGTTTGGATACTGATTCTAACAAACCAACTGAAAAAAATATATTTTTGATAAAAGACATTAGAGATGAACTGAACAATAATTTTAGAAATTAGTGTTTTATTGTTATGATAAAAATATTGTATTTACATATTTCTAAAATCATCAGCTTTCATTTACTTGCAAAATAATGTTTAGGAAAGCAGAGTAGGTACATGGGGGTTTATTATAATCACCTCTGTGTATACTTCAAATTTCCCATAATACCTTTTTTAAAGGAGACTGTCATATTTATTTCTAGTTCATAGGGAAAAACATGAAGCAAAGTTTGGAAATGTCTAGACATACTAAATTTAAAAATTTATTGCTGAATTAATTTTATCATTAGGTTTTATTAGTGTTGAACAAGATTCAAAGGACTCAGGCAACTAGCCTTGAGTCTCAGCACTGCCACTTACTAGCTACACGACTTTGGGCAAGTCACTTAAATTCTGAGCCTCATTTTCCTCATCTGTAAAATGCTGCTGATTAATACCATCTATCTCACAGGATTGTTGGAAGGATTAAGTAACATAAAAGTGCAAAAGTAATCTAAAAACTCTAAAATCCTGCAGAAACTTTAGCTGTTAATATTATTCACCCTGAAAGTTTCACTCAGGACAGCTCTTCTCATACATCGAATACTACTGGCTATACTTGTGCCAGAAATCAGCATGTCTGGATACAGAATCAAAAATCCAAAATCTTCATCTATTAACCAGGTGTCAGATGTGCAGTCTCCCTCCAAATGAATGATGTCCCCTGGCTCTACTGGTACAGAGCACCTAAAAATAAAGCAAAGTATCAAGACACAGTTAGGTTCCTATCATTTTTTCTTTTTTAAAGTACTTTATTTATTTACTTTCACAGAGAGAGGGAGGGAGAAAGAAAAGGAGAAAAACATGTGTGAGAGAAAAACATTGATCGGCTGCCTTTTGCACGACCCTCGAGCAGGGGATCTGGCCCGCAACCCAGGCATATGCCCTGACGGGAAACAAACCAGTGATCATTTGCTTTGCATGATGATGCCCAGCCCACTGAGCCATGCCAGTCGGGGCCTACATTTTTTTCTTTTCTTTTTTTTTTTTAATTGATTTTAGAGAGAGAGGGAGGGAGGGAGAGAAACAATGATTTTCTGTTCCACTTAGCTATGCATTCCTTGGTTGATTCTTTTTTGTGCCTGACAGGATCAAATCCACAACCTTGTAGTTATCTGTACAATGCTCTAACCAACTCAGGTACCCAGCCTGTGTAGGTTCATACAGTTAAACTCATTAATGAGGCTTCAAAAATAAGTGTTTTGCCCAGCTGTGTGGCTCAGCTGGATGGAGCATCACCCCACAGACCAAAAGATTGCTGGTTCGATTCCCAGTTAGCATACTTGCCTGGGTTACAGGTTCAGTCCCCAACTGGGGCATGCATAGGAGGCAACCAATCTATGTTTCTCTTACATTGATGTTTCTTTCTCTCTTCCTTTCTCTCTCTCTGAAATCAATGAATATACTTCTTTTTAGAAAAATAAATAAATAAATATTTTGTCTGAAAAAGTAAATATTTCTAAATTTCTGGATTATTTTTAAAAATTAAGAATCAGGATAGTCTTCTGAATCAAATCCTTGTCACACCACCTCTTTTCACCTTTGAAACACACCTGAGAATACTCATGGGTTTTCCTTAAATCCCAAAGGGGAAAACTGCTTTAGCCTCATTATTAAATCTTTAATGATGTACTATGAAGCTCCAACTATGGATGATATTGTTTTAATAATTAACTCTCACATTCTTAAGACTTACAGTGTATCTACATCTTTTATAACTCTTGAGAAATGGAGCTAAACCTAAAGTGGCAAGAATAAAATCACATTTATCTAGTTCAAACCACCCATTTGCAGCCTAGACACAAAATCTACACAAAATTAGACCTGACCTTTTCTGCATCTCCCCTTCACCCCTTGCTTACCACACTTTGCTTGAGTAGAGAAATCTAAGGTCAAGGAATGTTCTTATGAAGAATGTTCAAGGAATGTTCAAGGAAAAATTAATTTTATTCTTAGAATGAGTTTTAAGCTATAATCTTAAAACAGAAAAATACTAGTAATCGAAAGTAGTCATTTAATAAGTCCCTTTGCAATTTCAAATAACAGTAAAATCAACTTTTGGAACAAGGGACTTGACATACTGGGGTAACAGACACAAAATTAATATGGAGTTAATTCAGGTTGAAACTACTCTCTTTATTAACAATTACATGACATCCACACAAGCCCAAGTGAGGGGTTAAGATGGTACCCTTAAGAATCTGCCAGATCAGTGCTCAAAGTCACACAAAAATTACCAGTCATTCCTAAGGATGCACAATTCTTTATTTTCTAGTGACTGGGAAGCAGTGATGAGTAAATGCTTTTCATGGTTTCCTTCTTCATTTTGTACAATATTGACTGCTAACACCAGGTACCGATTATCCATTCCACAGCTCAGAACTGTTTTAGAAGAGGAAGCTTCCACCTTTTTCTGAAATCTAAAGCATACACATACAAAACTACTGTAGCACAAGCATGAAATAAGAAGCCACCAATCTCCTTTATCTACAAACCAACCTTCTAGTTTTAGGTTAGTCTCTTCTGGAAAGCTTGCCATAATGACTACTAGCAAAAATAGGTAAAAATTAAGAGAGCAAGGACATAACAGAATTCCTATTAAAAGAACTTCCCAGAAGCAAAGCCATTTAAAACACACTTATGGGGTTTTTTTTTTTCCAAGTATGAGCTCCTTGATTCTGAGGATTCAGGAGAAATTGAAAAACATTAAACAACACGCTCCTACCACTGGTGTAAACCTTTTCAAAGTACAAATAAAAGGGAATGTTTTGGACACTATCCTTTTTGTAAGTAAAAGAAATGTTTGTCATAGAAAAACATAGCATGGTGGTTTGCTAGAAGTCCTACTGAGGGCCACAGAATTATATCAATCTTTAAATTAGGAGAGTACTTAGAAATCATCTCGTTCAATCTACTACTTAATACCGGAAATCCTTCTATGACATCTCATTGGCAATCAACTAGCCACTGCATTGTACAGAAAGCAAACTCAATACATTAGCTTATTCCTGCATAGAGTAACTCAGAAATCTATTCTATAATGGGCAAGTCAATGTCACAATACACTTTTAGTTTTTTCCTTTTTATTGAATTTATTGGGGTGTCACAATACTTTTATCCACTGATCTTAAGAAAAATAATCTCTCCTCTAGAAAACATTAAATTCCTATTGAGTGTTTCCTGTTTGATTGTAGTAAGACTCCAATAGAGTCCAAAGTCATTCTCTTTCCAATAACAACAAATGCCTTTCACATTATCCTAAAATTACCTTTGTCACCCACTCTAGGTTCTGTTATTTTGGAATCTCCACATTTACCTACCCCTCGAATTTCCCAAAGTCAGCTGGGACGCCTTAAGGGTCTCCCAAGAGGTACTGCTGATCAAAACCCAAAACGCAAGACATCCATCAACAATAATCTGCATCAGTGTTATTGCTACTGAAAATAACTCCACACCATGATTGTGGGTCAAGTGTTCCCGACCATTTAGACCGAGATGAGGATGCAGAGTTCTCTCTGGAGTAAATTGTCCAACTAAACATAGAGAAAAGCACCTCGCAGTTGCAACATCCTTTTACGAAGACATTTAAGATGGCTTGGGACTCTCCAAATTCGGGAAAGACGCAAAATTAGGGGAAATAACGAACTGCTGAGCAAGGGAGAGTCTCCACACTCTGGTCTGAGTGTGGCCCCAGAGGACCCTACGAAACAGACAGACCCCAGGTACGGAGGTGAGTTTGGCGCCCCGGGACCCGTGCCGGGTCACTGTCCGAGTTCGGGTTCGCGGAGGCCGTGAGCGCAACCTCTCCCGCTCCTTTCTTTCAAATTTCCCGCTTTGCTCCCAAACCCTCCCCCCACTCAGCTCACGGCTCCGCGGGCGGCTCAGCCTTGTCTCCGAAACTCTTCTCCATCAGAAGCTCGAGATCACCCAACTGCTCCATTCCCGGGCGCGGAATCCACTAACTGCCACCAAGTCAAAAGCAAGGGAAATCGGTAGCAACTCTAAAAAGACGAAGCAGCGCGGGTCCGTGAGGCGCCGCGCGCATGCGCCGACTCGCCAAGGTCCCAAGTGACCTGCGCAAACCGCTACTTCTGCACCGCCTCATTCCTCGAGCAGCGCCGCGGTCTGGGCTACCCTCCCGCTGAAGGTTGTCTTGTGCTTCTGTCTTCGGTTTTGAAAAACAGGTAGTCGTCATACTCCGGCCAAAACTAAATGCTCCCGCCTTCTTTCTAGACATGCCAACCTATTCCCAGCACACGATTTTTATTTGAGCAGAACAATTCGTGGTTGCCCAAACCCAGGAGTGCGTAGCCATCAGAATCTTGTATTCCCTAGAAAACAACTTCTCTTCCACCTTTTCTTTCCCCTCTGGAAAACAACCTCTCTTCCACTTTTTTTTATCTTGGAAAACTTACTAGAAAACAGAAATTGTCAGGAGCTTTCTCATCATGTTAGGAGTAAATCTACAAAATTGCCTGTCTTGTAAATACACTTTTTCCACTTTTTTTCAACAGTGGACAAAGCAATCCTATCAGTGGACAATTCTCTCCATTCAAAGTCCTCTCGTATTATCAAGGGCATTGCTCTCCAGTTACTCCCTTGTTCCCTTCTATCATCAATCTGTCCCTCACTATCGGATAGTGAAGCCATGTTATGTGGCCCAGTATCTCTCATATTTTTTTTTCTTTTTTAAAATGATCTGAGAGCGAGATTGATTTACTGATTGATTTGTTCCACTTATTTATGAATTCGTTGGTTGCTTCTTGTGTGTCCCCTGACTAACCAGGGATCCAACTACAGCCTTGGGTATGGGTGGGAGGCTCTAACCGACTGAGCGGCCTGGCCAAGGCCCTTCCCTTCTTTAAAAGTTGTTACCTTGATGGAACTTATTCCATCCCTTTCTTGACCACTCTCAAATTAAAACTTTTTAAAGTAATTTTTTAAGGCTATATCCTATTTCAATTACTATTCACTTTCTTTTTGTTTTTATTTTTTTAATGAAAAAGCAATTTATTTTACATAAACTTTAAAAATATACTCAGTATTTAAAATATACAAAAAGATGTAAAAAATAAAATCACTTCAGAAGCATGTCACATAATTTTAAAATAACCTTTATTAAGAATTGTCTCTCATATTCATGTTTATTCATTAAAAAATTATGCAAAACTTCCTCAAAAAAATTGGAAAAGCCTTGCCTGTAGTAAATACAGGTTCTGTACCTGTGACACCACATTTGATTGGTTTTCCTCCAATGTCACAGGCCCTCCTCAATCTGCTTTAATGTCTCTTTAGTCTCAAAATGTTGAAAGTCCTCAGAGTTCACTTCTTGATAACTTTACGAACGAGCTAAGTTATATCATCCATTTTTATGGCTTTACGTAACATCTGTATTGCCAACCCTCAAATGTATATTTATAAGCAAGGCTTTTCCTCTGAATTCAAGAATCCAACTGACTACCTGACATTTAAGAAATATTATTGGGAGTAGGTCTCAATTATAATTATAACATGGCCAAAAATGCAATCTTTTATTATTTTTATTATTATTCTCAGTAATAGCACTATCTCTCTCATATACTCTGAGGATAAGGCCAGAAACTCAGAGATTATTCTTGATTCCTGTTATTACGCACATCCAGTGCATAGGCAGAACCATAGCTTTTGAAGCTAAAATGGCCTTAAATCTCTCTATGCTTTTCCAACTTCACTGACACTACCTGATGGTTATCTCTCACCTGGAAAACTGCAGTCAGCTCTTACATGTGCCTCCATTATTATCTCCTTGCAGTTTAGTCCCTTTTCCTAATATTTTATCATGAAATTTTTCAAATGTACAGAAGTTAAAAAATTATATAATCAACACCCATACACCTATCACATAGATTTTACTACTAACACTGTTACTTTTGATTAATTACATCTATCTATAAATCCCTCTGTCCATGAATTCAGGATTTTTTGTGTGTGTTTTTTAACATACTTCAAAATAGCAGGTATCAGTGCATTTCATCCCTAAAACTTGGTGTGCATTTTATTAGCTAGAATTCAATATTTTTTATGAATTCTATGGTAGTTTTTGGTAGTTTAAAATTGTTTAATATATTTTATATTTAAATTTTTAAATTTGCTTAAAATCAAATGCACAAGTCTTATGTGTACCATTTGAGGAATTTTGACTAATGTGTTTAACTCAAACCCCTCTGAGATACAGAATGTTATCTTCACCCCAGAAAATTCTTTCATGTCCTTTCCCGGGTAATTCCCACCACAAAATTTTGAGGAACAAACTCACTTACTGCTTGGACCCTTACCATTTAAATTGAGGGTATTAACAAAGTAGGTTTCACAGGATTTTATGCATTCTTTCTTAGGCCTGATCACCCTAGGGAACCTGCCCTTTCCAGTACAGGGCGCCACCCTCTTCCAGCATTGTTTCAGGCTTAAGTCAGGCAGGGGAAGTAAGGCAGCCAAGAGATTAGGAGACATCTTACAGAAAGAATGAGGACTCAGGCTATGTCAAAGCCAAGGCCCAAGGGTCCATCACCCCTTTTTCTATAGCCCCCAAGTCCTTCCCTGGGGGCCCCCATGATAGTGCCTGTATTAGGTCATCCTTTCCTTGAGGAATCTTACCTGTCATTGGCTAACCAGTCAAGCATTGGGGGCCAGGCAGGGTGAAGTAAAAGGAGCAGAGGCAATGCCCCTGCCAGGGAGATAAGCTTTGTCTCCTTAGTGGCTTATGGTCTGAAGATCACTCACTCAGCCTTAGCCATTGGGTGGTGGGGGGAGGGCGGGTGGGTTATAGCTTCTGAAACCAGGCAGGGTGGTTCCCAAAATGTCTTGGTGTGTGTCTTGTTGGATCCAATTTCTTTGAGTCTCTCTGGGCTTCCTGGACTTCCTAGAAGTCTATTTCCTTCGCCAGATTGGAGAAGTTCTCCTTCATTATTTATTCAGATAAGTTTTCCATTTCTTCTTCCTCTTCTCCTTCTGGAACCCGATAATTCAGATGTCGGAACGTTCAGAGTTGTCCCAGAGATTCCTCAGCCTCTGCTCGTTTTTTTGAATTCTTGTTTCTCCATTCTATTCCAGTTGGATGTTATTTCTTCCTTTCATTCCAAATCGTTGATTTGATTCCCGGTTCCCCTTCACTGTTGGTTCCCTGTATTTTCCTTTATTTCACTTTGTATAGCCTTCATTTCTTCCTTCATTTTGCAACCAAACTCAATTGTTTCTGTAAACATCCTGATTACCAGTATTTTGAACCCTGAATCTGACAGGTTGTCTATCTCCTTGTTGCTTAGTTCTTTTTCTGGAGTTTTTAATCTTTCTTTCATTTGGGCCATTCTTATTTGTCTTGGCACAGTTGTTACATTGTAAGGGGCAGAGTCTTAGGTATGCGTGCGCCATGGTGGAACAACCCTCTTTGCTGCATTGTGGTGCTGTCTGTGGGGGAGGGGTCAGAGAGGGTACGATGCCACTTGCTAAACTCTCACCCCACTTTCCATCACTCCCTTGCTTCCCACAAGTGAATTGTGCCCTTTCGGGTGCTGACCCCCAGGTGGGTGGGTCTGTATGTTCTAGAATCCCATGGACCTCTCCAGTGAATTTTGCTGTGAGACTGGGAGTTTCTCCTGCTGCTGCAACCTCCACAGATTTTAAAGCCAGAGGTCTTGAGCCTTTAGTTTCCTGCGCTGGAACCCTAGGTTTCACAGTCTGTCTTGCTCTGTTGTTCCTCCTGGCTTATCCGCATGCAAATGTAGTGCTGCCAGTCAGCCAGCCACTGCCTCACCCACGCGGTGGTCCACCCTGCCCAGCATCCTCTCTGCTTCAGCTGCCTGTCTCTGTCCCTCCTACCAGTCTGGATGAATGTTTCTTTAACTCCTTGGTTGTCAGATTTCCATGCAGCTTGATTTTCTGGCATTTCTGGTTGTTTTTAGTTTTTAAATTGGTTGTTTTCCTTCTTTTGGTTGTTCAAGGAAGCGTAGTGTTTCTACTTACTCTTCCGTCGTAGCCGGAACTGTAGAATCACATCTTTAATGTGTTTAAGCAATATTTTGTAATTGTAAGTGTGCAGATTTTACACATTTTTTGTTAAATTTGTTAAATGTTAAGTGTTGTCTATTTTTCTGATGCTATTATAAATGAAATTGTTTTAAAATTATTTTCCAATCGCTTCCTGCTAGCACATGAAACTCGTTTTTATATTTACCTTATATTCTGAGACCTTGCTAAATTTACTTATAATTCCTACTGGTTATTTTGTAAATACATTAAGACTTTCTATGTAAATAATCATGTCATCTGAACAGAGGCAGCTTTACTTCTTCTTTTCTGATCTTTATATTATTTTTGTTTTCTTACCCAAGTTCACTGGTTAAAGAGAAGTTGTGACACTGGACCCTTGCCTTCTACCTGACCTTGGTGGAAAGTATTCAGTATTTCACCATTAAATATAATGCTAGCTGTAGGCTTTTTATGGATACCTGTTACAGTTATCTAATGCTATGTATAAAACAAAAACAAGCCCTGGCTGGTGCGGCTCAGTGGGTTGAGCACCAGCCTGTAAACTGAAGGGTTGCTGATTCAATTCCCAATCAGGGCATGTGCCTGGATTTCGGGGACTTGTGAGAGGCAACTGATCAATGTCTTTCACACATCGATGACTTTGTCCTTCTCTTTCTCCCTCCCACTCTCTCTAAAAATAAATAAATAAAATCTTAAAAAAAATACAAACCTCTAAAATTTTGTGGCTTAAAATAACAATCCTTTTATAGTTTATGAATATTCAATTTGGGTAGGGTTCCATGGGAAAGCTGGTCTCTGTTTCATGAAGCATTAGCTGGGAGCTGGAGGATCCCCTTTGAAGATGGCTTACTTAGAGAGTAACTTCTGCAGTTACACAGCATCACTTCCACTTTAGTCACAAGTCCACTCAGCCAGGCTGAAGGGAAGGGAACAGAGTCTCTACCTCTTGAAAGAATGTGTGACATGACACAAGAAGAGCATGTGAGATGGGATGTGTA